TAAAAATGATTAAAAATCACATTTATGTATGAATAGATGATAAAATGAAAGATACAATATTTGTTAATCGTTGAGACAAAATAAACTGAATTAAGTATTAAAATTGAAAAAAATGAAAAATGATACTTAACTATTGAAAGAAATTTGTTTTACTTAGATATGCTTACATACTTATGCTATACTACTAGAATGTTGCAAGTTTTTCCAATTCAAAAATGGTAGTTAAAAACTAATAATCTACTTCATTTAAACACGCAATCATGTAAATACACATACCGGTTAAGGATGCATTATGTTCTAAAAATACCAATATCAAATTTATATAGTTCAACATGTCATTAATTGTTTCTTGTCGCAAGTTTTGAAAATTTTTGTGTTTCACTTCAGAACTAACAATCCAGAACATACTTTGAAGCGTTTCAAACAATTTTCTAAGATCATCAATCATGTTTTTCAGCTTCTTCTTAAATACTATGTATCAACAACTTGCTTATGAAGTGTTTCAAATCTCTTAAATATAACAATGTTTCCTAAATCTAAATCTGACTCTTGAGAGATAAGAAATTTATCATAATTATCATCTTCCAATATCTCTTCGAAAATTTTCATTGTCTTTAAAGGTACTCATTGTATTGCAAAATTGCAGTTTTGAATACTTCATTGTTCTCATCATCAATATGAACAAATACTTTAAATTATTCTTGCCAATCGGAAAGATGTAAAACTAATATAGCTTGTGAAACTTTGATTATGAAAATTGTCATTTTGTTCACTGACTCCTCATCTATGTATCTATTTTTGACTTCATCAATGCATTTTGATAGAGCTTGATGACATCAATCACTAAGCTTCTTTGACATAACATAGCATTGAGTATATGAGTTTAATTTCCATATGCAACTCTAACAACATCACATTGTAACCTACTACACTATTTAAAATATTGTTTATATTTTCTTTCGTTTGTTTCACATCTTTTTGATAACTTCTTCATTGACATCGTAATCATGTGATGGAAACATTCTTTTGTTTTTTTATGAGTAATCATCTTTTTCAACATCTTTATGATATTATATTGATGAAGACAATTAAGCATTTCAATAATGTCACATTTTTTTGCATGGCACAAAATATAACTCAAGTTTGATCATATTCACATAATGACAATGATAACAATCGTTTTTTATCAAATAGTAGATCTGAGTTTAGTAAAGCTTTTGAGTTTTCAAATTCAAAGACAATAGTATGCTAAATTTAGCAAAAATGACCATCAAGCATTATCTTATGAAAATCAAAGATGTTTATACTTCTTTAATCAATGTATGATAAAAAATGTAGATTAAAGCAAAATGATTTGTTCAACAAAAGACTACAATTGCATCGTTATACCCTATGCAACTCATCAAATAATATTGGTGTTGTATGAATTCTATATTATGTTTGTTTTATTGTATTCATTGCATCAAAAAAAAATTTCTACTACTTTAACTTCAAATAGTCAACTTTTACGAATGATGATCTATCATGTAAGATTGAAGTTATTGGATTTTTGTTGGATTTAAATGTCTAATGAAGTCCAACGTAGGTTGATTCAAGTCAGATTTATACTTGACATGAGAAGTCATTTGACAACTCTTGAAATTTTAGATTCAAAATATACTTAGCAAAGTTTTAGAGTGAAGGATTTATAATGAAAATATACGATAAGATTATGTTAGATGGTTATGAGCACAACAATCTATACATGATTATTATCATATGTAAAAAATCCAATTTTACTAAATTTCAAGGTAAGATGACTTATCTATGACATTTTAGTAAATCATTAAAAGCAAAATATACTTGACATTCCTTGATGATAAACACTTGTTAATTAACATGAATGAAATTGAATTGAATTTTTGTGAATTTTTTGCTATATCAAACATCATAAGATATACTTTGATGTTGAAACTTACAATAATCATTAATTACTTTAGTAATTACATAATGATGTGTATGAGCATTTTTTAAAATCTCACTTTGTGATGAATTATACCATGTATCTTATATTGATGATTGCTCAAAATTTATGTGTACACATATTCAACAAAACAACTTTTAAAAGTCAAAAAGTCAAGTTGAGATTTAGACCTAACAGAACAACATTTTAAAAGTTGAAAAGTCAAGTTGAGATTTAGACGTAACAAAACAACATTTTAAAAGTTGAAAAGTCAAGTTGAGATTTAGACGTAACAAAACAACTTTTAAAAGTTGATAAATCAAGTTGAGACTTGGGGTGGACATAAGGTGAGATATTGACGTACAAATATAGTGAAAATTTTAATTCAATATATTTTCAAAGATATCACAAAGAGTAGAAAATTACTATTGATTTCATTACGGTTTATATATTGCAATCCAACATAGTCTCTAAGAGTGTCAATTAAATAATGTTAAAAAGATTTTCTTGTATGTTGAAACATAACATATGAATTTTGATATATAAGGATCAATATTGCAATGTATTTGAAAAATCTTCTACTTTCTAGTTAATCAATTTTTTGACACCATTTGAATGAAATCACAAACTGATGTTTGATTTTAAACTTTAATGAAACCATGTGGATGTAGCAAAAAATTGGCAAATTACTTATTCTTATGTCGACGTGTGTGTTTTCACAATGAATTTGTGTTCATGAAATTTAAGTTAAAAATTGTTATAAATATAAGGTAATATAATATTATATATAGTGAATTTTTTCCATTAATTATATTAAATTAGTTTTAGAAATCATTTAAAATTTATTTTAGATGAGTAATTTAATTTCATACTTTCAATTACATCAAAATAAATTCAAACACATAGATCTGTATTTTTCATTATATTTTTTTGGACAAATTAGAGTAATTTGATTTTTTTTCATTAGCAACATCAAAATGTCTGATTTTATAATTATGAGTTTTCTTTAAAAATGTTGTGAAAAAGAGGAAATTAATATCATGATAAAGTATTTATTAATGTTTTGAATATGAATCTAAGTTAGTGCATATAGTTTCACAAGTACAGTATATAGGATAACAAACAATTTATCTTCTTACAAACATATATATTTGATAAATTATTTATCTTGTACCTTCACTTGCACATGAAAAACAATGTTCAATAATTGAATATTGCTTTAATTGCAAGTCAAGTTGTAATTTGAATGATTATGTGTGCAAATGATATGATGAAACATCATCATGTATGTAAGCTTAACATGATTCTCTTGAAATAATCTTTGATGTGAACTAACTTTTTTAATTGCAAAACAAAACGACAAATAGAACATCTAGACTTGTGTATCGCACATAAATATACCCTTAACTCATTACAATAAACAACTGCATGGATACTTACGAGATGTTAGGTATCTCTTTATTCATTAAATAACATTTGAACTTTTGTATTCATATGGATTCCAAAGAGAGTAATCAAAACGTAGCAAAGATGTTAAAGTTATGTGAACCAGAAAACATGGTTACCAATATACACAACTTCACATTTTTGTAGCAGGAAAAATCTAAAGGAGCATGAGAAATTGAGAATACTTGACAAATAAGTGTGATCCTATTGAAACTATCAATCATCAAGACCATTAATGATTACTTAAGTAGATTAAAAAGAAAATAAAAATGAAAGCTTTTGTGTTACTTGTAGAGCAAATTAGTATTATAGTCTATCAGTAGTATATGTCAATAAGATAATTCCATCTATAAGTATTTCACCAGGATCTGAAGTTTCCAATTTTTTTGCAATCACACATTAGGATGGTATCAAAATTCTAGAGAGAGGGCAAGGAAATGCTCTTATTAAAAGGCAGGAAAAGTTGTAGTTACAGTCTGATTTATACGAGATATGCTTATTTCTTCACATATATACTCATGCCTCCACACATACATACACAGGGAATGCACCTATTTACAATCACAGATATCTATATATTTGTGATACAAATAATAAATTTCTAATATTCTGTAATTGCAATCTCATCTATTGACAGTAAGCCTCACTTTTTCTCAAAATATCTTTCAACATGTATGCCTTCTTGCCATATCTCATTAATAAATTCAAAAATCCTTGATACTATGCTATCACCAAAGCCGTGTACGATACTCACATCAAGCTATGTCAAACGTGTTCATGAATGCATGCATGTGAAAATTATCGTTTATGTAAGTTTACATGGTTCAGCAGTGATAAAGTAAGCAACACTAATTGCCACATGCCAATGATAAAGGATGTATTGGGTGTAGAAGTTAATGTACATGCAACAAATCTTCCGCAAGTGTAGAATATAGAGAGCATGAAATGAAATCATATAACGATGAGAAAAAATATAATATGTATACGGTTCATGCGCATGTTATATAACAAATAAAGATATGAGAGATAAGAAGGAATGCACCATGAAGAACATGCCCAACACCTCGCAGGTGAAGGGTGTGAGAGAAAGTTGCTTACTCCAAGGTGGTGCTAGCCATTGTGCTCCTATTTGCTCATGGAGTGCAGTGTACCACCGGAAGGTCAAACGGTAAGAGATGTACTATTTGGAGGGGACGGAGACAGTGCTAAATTTGGAATGAGAATAAGAGAAGATCATGGGTTCCGGTGAAGGGAAGAAGAATGCAGGTTCTAACGTTTAGGACGCATTGACAGGTGCTACTGAAGCAGTGTCTGCTTGGAAGAGCGTTGCCTGAGTCATCCTTCGTACTGTACAGTCGTGAAATTGAAGAGAGGTCTGAGCATTGTCACGTTTCGAAATTATCATTAGCAGCAACAACGAGAATCGAGTTTCTAGAGTCGGTGGGAGAGGCGACGAACTGAAGATTGTATGCTCCTTTACCTTAAACCCTAAACCTTAAACCCTCGTCTTCTCTCTTAAGATTCTGATACGAGATTTTGAGTCAACAATTGTGTTTCAGTCAATGGATTCTTCAGCTGGCATTAGATTGACCTCAGAGCAGCCTCGAGCTTGTGTTTTTGGTTGGATATTTTGAGATTTATCTTGTCTGTTAAGATGAGATATGATGGCTTGAGCTTGAGGTAAAATTGTCCGGGTGAGTATCCAATGGAGCGTTGACTTCGTTTTTCTGTACTTGAAATTGGGTCGATTCAGCTCTTACGTGCTGGTCTCTTTCTTTGATAACAATTCTGACCGACAGCCGCCGTGGCTCTAATCTAGTTTCAATAAGAAATTGATCTCTTTGTACCATCCGATCCGATTTAGGAGCCTGTTGCTTGAAGTCGAAAGACCAACTCCAAGTCTGAGGACACAATTAAAGTTGCCTATGTCTAAAGTATTCGCACTCCTCTGTAGCAGGTAGATTACAGCTGGGGGTTCTCAGGGGTTCGGATACTCTGTTTGACATCCTGTCTTCCTCATGTAAGTGCTTTGTATTGGACGAAGATGAGTCAGATTAAGTTCTTACTTATTGAAACTGCTGTAGCTTGATGATGATGATTTGGCAGACAGTCCCCTTTGAAGCGTTTTCCTTGAGCTCCGAGTTAGCATCACCTCTCGGCAGCTGATGGGTAAACATCGAAGGTAAATTCGGTGTTAGAAGTGCGGGGTTTGAGCGTCTTCAGTGAGAACATTGAGGGCGTGTGGAATCTGCAATTTACCACGTCAACAGTATATGTCTCTAGTAGTCCTTACTCACTTCGCCCTTTTCTGTGATAAAGTTTTTAGATGGAAGATGAGAAATCGCAAGACGGTAGCAAGCCGAAGGTGTCAGTTTCTGGAGACCTTCTCGAACTGGAGCACAACGCTTCATCTCTCGGTAACTCTCTTCGTGTATATTTTTTACCCAACATTTGTACTTGTATGCGTGCTTCGGAACAGCGGAAGTCGATATTCATGGAAGAATTTTTGCTTTGACAATCTATGCACACGTTCATCTCACCTGTGAAGTATATATGTGCAGAGAAACGTCTTTTAGTATGGAATAGAGGAAATAAGCCTACGGATGCAAGGGATCTTCTGAAAGGACCGCCAAATATTGGACCAACAACCGAGAGCAGTGGTTAGATTCTGTAAATTGAGCCCTCTTGGATATGATTATTTGACTCAATGAGCACTTGCGTGTTTTTCTTATTTCATAGGTACATTGAAGCCTATCACATCGTTTCCATGCGTATGAAAGGAAGATTCAGGTGGTTTGAGATTGTGTAGGGTCTATAGCAATGATTTGCTATCTCCTGATAGGTTCAAGCTTTCTGTTTATGCAGTTTTGGGGCGAATCAAGTCCTTTCTTCCTACTCTCGATGAAGCCAACCGTAAGCTCTTCTGTGACATTGAGGTATGTGACAGTTTGATTGTTGGTGAGAGGTTCACTCTAAAACGATTCAGGATAGTATGACATTATCTGTAGCCTCAGGTCCACTCATGCTTCTGCAAAAACCACCCGTTGAGCATGCTGAACGTTAAAGTGTGGCTTTCTTTCGCTGCGATCCGCTTGAGTTGTGATAGATAAATGGAGCTGAGCAGTTTAATATCGAGGGTGTTACAGATGCAGACCAGCGGTATGTTGAGATGGTACGTCAAGTCTTACCAGTCAGTCAACCATTGCATTACATTTTCAAGTACTGAACAACCATGGTTGGAATAATCGCTTAGAGGTGAATATGTCGTTTTTGGTGATGGGTTTTTCAGGGAGGACATTGATCTTCTGGTTGGTCACAGATATTTGATGAATTTGCGACCACAATAAACTTAGCTTAAAACATCCGGTCTTTACCGTCGGCTTATGTAGTATTGAGATGGTGATAACTTTCTGTTCGTAACAATCATGCACACTTTTTAGAGACTTATGGATTTGCAATTATTAATGAACAGGACTTAGCCCTGGGTGTGGCCGATTTGCTTACTCCAGAGGCCGTTGCAGCAGCGGAGTTGGCCTCTAACGGCCAAGTAATGCAAATAAATAGGACGTCTGGTGCTCTAGACTCTAGCTCAGATAGTGACTCGGATGAAGAAGAAGGCCACAGGGAAAGTGATATACCTACGGTCTTGGGACTTATTAGATCCCCAGAGGAGCAGAATCAAATACCTGACACCCAGGAAGATACTAAAGCCAATAGAGATCTCAAGCGGAAGAACATAGAGCAATTATGAATGATGGACATCAGGCTCTCAGTACTATTTAGTACTGTCTTGTATTATATACGATTTTTTTCTTATTATATTTGTATTCGCATGTTGGATCTCATCACCTATTGAAAGTTTCTTACCTGCAAGGTTTATACATCAAAGAGTCTCGTCAGAACTGATTGATATTATTGTCTGAAAATGGGTTCATTCTGAAAGGGAATCTAGTCGTTCTTCACGAAATCTTAACAGCATGGGATTACAGCAGGATATCAGTTCTTTCTTTTATAACACAGGGCTTACGACAGCTTCCTCAGGGAGCCAGCAATATACAGACTTGGACTGCTTTTCCAGCAGCTTGAGGTAGCCCCATCAAATAAGATTTTTTTTAAGGGCTGGATGACATATTATTGTAGCAAGAATGACTATCTAAGCTAATCATCTGCATCTGCAACGAAGTCCATACGAACTCCGCCTGTGCAACGTTCGCACATCAACCGGTACAAACCAGTCAATTTCCTCTCGTGGCCGACGGGACCGAATATGTGACCATTACTCGGTTCAGTCTGATACCGCTAGTGTCGAGCTTCACGAAGTCGTTCTCGCCAGATTATGGTTACTCATCAGGGCGCAGGCCATGTCTTTCGGCACAGCCAAGATTCTTGATCATAGTCATTTCGGATAAGATCAGTATCGCACAGGGAGTACAAGTAGTCACAGGTTGAGATCGTGCCGAGTTACTCTACTCCTCGCTGTTCTTGTAGGACGAGGACCTAGTATATCGTGCCATGGTGAGTGTGTCCTGATACTGCGCTGAGAAGTATCATAAATGGGCGTGTCTAAGTGGGCTGAATCCTTTGGCAAGGCACGGTGTTTTCTAATATCTCAATATTTTGTGGGAAAGCCCAAAGAGTTTCACTCGAGCTCTATATATTTCTGCGGATGATGTGGAGATGGTCTCCATCCGTGAAACGCTGGTGGATATTACAGATTGACTTGCATAAGTCGAAGTGTAAGCACCGAATCACTGCCAAGTTCAGACACTTAGTCACAAATTTGACAGTATGGTACAAGCAAGATAAGAATGGCCCAGAGCAAGAAACTGAAGGAAGAAGTATTCCTCCTATTGTGATGCTATCAGTGCCTAGCCCATCTTACCGTTTTTTTGGGGTGTCACGTAACTTTTTCTATATTTCTTGGTACCATCAGAAGAAAGAGTAATTATTTATTAGAAAATAATTCTCCAATAGTGTAGGATGATAGACTGTTACACTTGCTCCGACCATGGCGTTGCAGGTCAAAGAAAGTATATTGTATATATTTCATTATTTCATATCAGTTGTCCGGTGCACGGTTTTGGCATCATGAAGAAGCGTTTCGTCCTTCGGGTTTCAGTGCTCCAGTCTGTTCTATAACTGTGCACGGAGTAATCTTGCGCGTACAGTTTCACTGACTTTAGTGACAGGTAGTATTGACAAAAGGTACCCGTCCCTTAAGTTGGCAGTACCTTGAGTAAGGGTAACCCTCCGCTAAACTACGATTAATTGGGATACAATTCGGTCCTGGGATGACAGCAAGGACAGTCACATATTGACTTCCTCAGCTAATGAATGTTGGACGTTGATGGTTGAGCAGAAATTTGGAGTTGCCATTGTGAACTTAGAAGTTGACAGGTATTTTCGATACTTTACACTGGGACAACGTTGTGCCAAAATTAGTCGGCTAGTGTATGTTTCAAGTTTCAAATCGAATGGATCAGCATTTTACTTCAACGAAATATTAAGTAAGACTTGCTACGCTTTAGTTGTGATTAGGAAGTGACCTGGTACACAAAGAGAAAGGAGTAACATGAGAAGCACATGGGAGCCAAAGTAGAATTGGATTGATCACTTAATTATTATTAATTGTGATGATGTTCCTAGCACCACAATTTTTTTTGACAATTATGAAGTTTTGCATTGATTTGATATATCCATATATTAATTTATATGCTAGAGATCTTCACATGACTCTTTGATTGTTTGAAATGCACACAAAACCTAACTATCATGGGATTGAGGATACAATGTTTGCTATAGCGCGTGATGATCCACCTAATCTTGATGAATGAGCCTTGGTTGGGTTACAATCTACTCGGGTTGGGTCAGCTTTATATCTCGCCTGGAGTAGCAAGTTAATATTGAAAACATGACTAAGTAAAAGATATTATCTATCTTATTGGATAAACGTTGAGTAGGGGGACATCAACCTAGTTTTTCAAATATAATATTGTCTAATATTACGGATAAAACTTCAACATGTTGTGAGGGAGTGGACATTAATCGTATATCATATTGGATGATCATTGTGTAACAAATTTTCATTATTGTGTAAAAAGAATAAGACGTTTAAACTTAGATCTTCTAGATATTTTGGTGATGTAGTACATGTTTCACCACTATGATAGTATTAGGGACTGATTTATTTTATCTTATAGAACCTACACAAACCTATAACACACAATCATCCATGTTCCAATATAAGTTTTGGTTAGGTATAAGGGGATATGATTATTTTGGATGATCGTATACCGAGAAGCATTAATGATCTAAATTGATGTCAAATCTAATGATTAAATTAATCAAAGCATATAGATTGTAATTGGCTCAGCATTGGAACATGGAAGATTTCACCCATTAAGTAGTGATAATTGTTAATCTATTTGTTAGCGCGTTAGTCTCATAGCTCACCGAGCTCGTAATATAGAGTTCGTAAATTAAGTTTTCTCTTAACCACGAGACTCACAACTCGACTGCAATTACAGCGTGATGATGATTCTCTCTTCTTCTATTTATGAACCCCTCACTCTCTCTTAAGTGCACTCAAGGCGGATTTTACAACAAAAGCTTCTAAATTAACTCTCTTGATGCGACTCAATTAAACTAGTTTAGGTAATTTAGGCCACCTACTAATTTAATCATGTTTGGGTATAATCCACTGTAGGAGCTGGATCACAATGGGCCGTTTATACATAACAAGCGAACATAACGGAGCTCATGAGACGTCCATCAATTCTCTTGAGTGAGAGTTTCAAACCTCAAAAATGACAAACAAACCATCCACAAGTGCAAGTTCTTGGAAGTCGAAAGCGAGAAGCTCATAATTTCTTTAGCTGCAAAGATAGACTCCAATTATAAAAAGACAATCAGAAAGAAGTAGACGCAAATATAGAAAATTTTGCGTAAATTTATCAATGTCAAGATGTGCATCACAATTTTTATCATCAAACTTGTTGCTATATATTGCATTTCGTCATGACAATCTTTAAGTCATAATCATCATCATGACAATTTTTTTGGTCATCATAATCTTTCAGATTCATGATCAAAATAATCACGTGAGAATAATTTGGCACAATAATGGCAATCCCTGTCCACACACTATAGTAGACTCCCACTCAAGTACGCATCCGTTTAAGTACGTATTTTAATTAAATACATATTTTTTTAGATGATTTTCAAGGATCAACATTTTCAACCATTTCGCCGTAAATTTTAAAGATTTCAACATTTTTGACGATTTTATTGTAAATTTCAGAGATTTCAATATAGCATATCGTGAATTGTAATCTGACACATGTTCTAGTTTTTTAATTACTACTGCTCGTACCTTATTTGGAATATTTCGAACAAATTTTTCAAATCGTCGAATGAATCATGAGCTTCTATCTGAACAGTAGAAATAGAATAATTGATACTTAATATTAAAATCTTCTTAAACAAAGATTCAAATTCATAAAATTGAGTCATATCTTGTGAATCTATTATCTCCTCGGGTGAATCAATATAGTCGTCATCAAGATCTGTTACATCAATACTCATCAAATCTAACATTCCTCGACGTCTTCTAGCAATGCTGCAACATATTCTTCATTACTTTTGTCGTCAATGTGAACAAATCTAGTATCTGATCGTCAATGTGTAAATCTGATTCATCAATCAATAAATTTAGGTTGTTCATCGTTTTAGCTAACTCAGCAACAATCAAATTAATTTCACTCTCAGTTCCTAGTTCTGGTTCCAAACACATGAGATCTGCACTGCAAAATGTATTTTTTTACAAAATTTAACAAGACCGAATTTCAAGCTTCTTTCACATAGCTTGCAACGTTCAACAGATGTGATGGGTTTCCGTTAAAAAAACTCTTGCTGCACCTCGTCGTAATTTTTTTCCAAATTGTTTTTTTCTTTCCTTCAACTCCTCGTCAAGCTCGTAGAAATTGAAGATATCCTTGAGATATAAATATTTATATTGTTTTTTGAGAGTAGCAATAATCCCCATATCACAAGGTTATTTCCAACTGATATAATTTAGAGTAAAAAATACCACACGGATGTTGTCACGTTCAAAAGCATCGAAGTGTCCTAGCGCATTATTCATCAGTAAAAGAATGAGACGTACGGTTAGTCTCTTGATTTCTGGAACAAAGATTTCACTGAACCATCTCCAACATATCTTCAAGTACATCCAAGACTTCGCTTGAATGAAATAAGAAATTGGCCAATGTCAATATTTGATACAAGCTCGTTTCTTCGGATTTCCTATCATAACGAAAGGAATTTTATGTAATCCAAAACTATTTGCACAAACTATCAAAAAAACACTATCTTTTGATTTTTTTTAACTCTGATGCTTGAGATATCCTCGTTCGGCAAAAGAATTGAATATATGGGAAGCAAACAAAAAAACAATCATATCTCATCCATGTTATTGTACACGTTATCAGGATTGTATTGGGCGATGATGAGAGATAATACTTCCAAGGCTGAAAGTAAACCACGATCATTCTTGTCAACCTCTGCTACTTCTCCGTGCAAAAGCATTTTATGTAAACATCGACGTGTCCTGATACGATCAAGCCATTGCCATGAACCGTTAAAATCTGAATCAGAAATTGATAATGTAGATGCGATACCTTTTGACTTTGCAATTACAAGAGATGGCGGTACAGGAAGCTTGGCACGACGCGTGCTGTCAATCGAGATGTATAATTTTTCTTCAAATTCAAAAAAATCGTCCGACTGAAGATCTACAATTAATCTACCTAGTTTCTTCAGAGAGTAAAGCTGATCGTTCGAGAATGAAATCTTGTTTCTTCCATATTTTCCTCACACCACCTTGACTAATTTCATACAAACGCGCTTTAGCGCGTTTGCTTGAAGTAATTACTTTTTCAGTTTTGAAATGATCACATCGTTGAAACTCGTTCAGGCGCTTGGTTTTTGATTTCTTTGACATTGGAGCTCTACATCAAATCTTTGGAAATGAAATTGTTAAATATGCAACTCCTGGTTAAGTATGCATAGATATTTTGGAGCCAATACGTAGATCACATACTATAGAAAGCATATAACTATTTAAAGTCAATCGATCATAATGCTTTCAACAATAACTATAATTATTTCAGGTTTAAAACCTAAACCATTTACATGTCAAAAGGAACAATTTTTGATTGATTGCAAAATTTATACAGATACAATGTGCGTATTTAAGTGGGAGACTACTGTATACCCATCATCTATGTATTGGAAGATGAATTAAGGTGGGAAGGAGTGGCTTTAGGGCTCTATCTCTATACTGATTTTACTTCTATTCTTTGCAATCAAACGAGAAAATAAGTTGCAAATAACAAATTTACAGTGATGGAGATGCAAATCACTTCAACAACGCAAAAACTATGTTCAGAAATAATTGATAAAAACACAGTTACAAGAGAAGAATGGACGATAATCAATGATTAATTCTTCTTTTATGATTAAGCAAATTTCGTCATGCACACAGCAGTACTAGAACAAATTGTGACCATAAATACATTAATTCATCGAGTCACATTGTTGAAATGTCGCGTCGTGTTATCTAGAAAAAATCACAAAGATTCGGCAGCAACATCATCCAAGAATATATAAACCTTTCCTGATGCCTGGGGTGGACTCTTCGCCAACAAATACCAGAGGGATTCCCACCTTCAGCTTAGCGGAGGGAAGCCAAATAGGAGTATGAGGAAAAAGGCCCCACCGAGATTCGAACTCGGGCTCTTGGATTCAAAGTCCAATGTCGTAACCACTAGACTATGGGGCCAGGTGATAATCACAGGGGAATTGTATTTATTGAACCTAACGATTATTTTGTTACAACAATCGAAGCATGGTCCTCAGACAAAAGCTTTGAGGAACATTCTTTCAGATGTCTGTGTAGGTACTATGTACGTTGTTTGGCTCTGAAATTCTGAAATTCATCTTTCCTTCTAGAATTCTAGTCAAGGCGGAAAACTGGAACCCATTTAATTTAGAAATCAAACAAACATGTCCGAAGCGATGCTTGACAACGTGCTCATTCTATAGGTCAGAAACGCTAGTGGAGACAATAACAACGTGGATCTGTCCTAAGGTAGCGAAATTCCTTGTCGCATAAGTAGCGACCTGCACGAATGGTGTAACGACTGCCCGCTGTCTCCAACATGGACTCAGTGAAACTGAATACTCCGTGAAGATGCGGCTCTTTGGATGCCACTCCAAACGCATGTGGGTACACTGTTACCCTGTTCTCAAGGGAGAAGTACTTTCACCTTCATGGAAACTCGGATGGCGGAGTGAGTGAACTCCGCGGATGAATGTGGAATAGAGCGCACAGGCGTGACTCAACGTCTTGACTTGTGAACAGGTCGCACTATCTTTTAAGGAATATTTCTATCTTGACATATGGCTTTATAATGCATTCGTTTTAATTCATATTTAGCCACAAGACATCTACGCTTGTGATCTACATATGACTAAACCTCTTTTTGCAAAAAACCACTCCACAAAATTACAGTCTCATCCTGAAGTAACTATTGTCACTTCAGCCAACACACAAGTCTCATCTTGTGTGTTGGCTGAAGTGACAATAGTTACATCAAACCCTCGAATATGCTCAAAAATCTCGAAATGATCTTGTATTTCCGGAAATAATCGTAACAACGACGTACCAAGGTTCAAAGATATATCCCACGGTTTCCGAAGGAACCCGGGTACTCACTCAGCCCTGAGGGACATCAAAATGCGGTGGAAGAACCCATCGTGGCTCGAGGGCTCGCTGTCTCCTCGCACGGTATTTTGAAGTTCTTATTAATAGCAAGGTCCACTGTGCATTAACTTCAGCGGAGCTTTGCCTCTTGCGAGCAGATCTATTTCCATGTCCAAGAGTGCTGGCTCTTTAGAAAATGGTAAGCTTCCCTGCTATGAGCAGGGGTGCAACAACGTGACGTATGTCTTTAATTTGAACCAAAATAGAAGCATTCATGTCGAACATGAAGGTATGTCTTTAATTTGAACCAAAATAGAAGCATTCATGTCGAACATGAAGGAGAAAGAAATAGCAGACGCCTGGGCAAGGGAAAGTTGTCATTAACACTCGATTATACTTTCAGTACTTGGCTAATTACATTCCACCACATCTGGACTGACTCGATACATCATGTGTATATTCTTCTGATTTTGATCTGTAATGTATCTGTTGCATGATGCGCCAATCACAATATGTGCGACGTTGATTACTCCTTTGACAACCATCTATCTCTCTGCATGAGGGAAATTATGACAAAACAATCCGTAGAGTGACCGCATTTTCATTTACTTTAGATTATGGAGACTACAACCAACCCTCCGCTGTTATTGCTCTTTCTTTCAGTCGCTTGCTGACAAACAGTCAAGTCGCAGCGCGAAGTTTGTGGAATTAAAACTAACAGCATATTCTTCTGGTGGAGATTATCAGTAAACTTTCTGACCCAATTCTTTTAAGGGTGGAGTCAATTCTATACATGCAATTATACAGATACTGTCCTTTAACATATGTGTGGTCATTGGTTAAGTTTCAGCGTAGATTACTATACAAAACCGCTGTTTGAGTGGATGAGGGTGTGCTTCGTTCCAATTTAAATCAGCTACAAGAACAATTTCACCTCAGATACAGGAACCTGGAAGTGATGTAAGCAGATAGATGTTGGTTATCGATCCAAGCAGGTCAATCAGCCAACAAAATGAAGACCCTGCAGTTCCAGTAGTTTCCTGCGTCTTCGTGAACACTCTTCCAGAAGTTTCAGGAGTGCTTGAATCAGTTTCGGATTCCCTCGTCTCAAGTCGCAATTTGCTGAAGCTTCAATCGAGAAGTTTCTCTCCACTTCTAACTAGTTCCGATAATTGAAGCTGCAGAGACGGTCATAGTTGAGAAAAGCAAACGCAAAAGCTTGACAAAAGTTCCACAAGTTGTTTCGAAGTGAATTAGCAGATGAATGCGTTAAGGAAGGATAATGATGTTGACAGGACATACCTGGTATCAAGCTGTGGAAAACTCACGCAAGACGTCACTTGCTATTATCAGCAGTCTGCCAGGAGGTTTGTCGTGATCATTGATAGTTGCAAGAATTCCCTAATCGAGAGTCTCCCGGAAGAGCTTGACATGAGCGGCTCTAACAAAGTCTGTCAGTTCGTCATTCAGGTTATCCAAAGCTCCTGAATTTCGGAGTTGCACATACTCTGGAGCCAAGCATGCTGCACAAGTCTCTACAAGCATCCAGAGTTGCCCAGAAAATGCCAAACTCATGACAGGTGGACATAAGAGAACGTTGCTCTTCAAGTACATTCCAATAAGTGCACATGTTGTTTGCTGAAGCTCATCCATAAGCCACTGCCCTGCAAGATCAGCGAGCTCTAACAGCGATTGTAGGTACTCCAGTTGAGCTTTGAAGTCCAGATTTGTCCAGCTACAGTTTACTGCTTCAGCCTTCGATGCTCCACTATACAGATAATGGAGAAGCTTCGAGATTGATATCTTGCTAGCTTGCATCTCAAGTACCTTCTGAGTACTGGAATGCAAAGGCAAGAACTGTGTTAGATGAAATTGATGAAGCATGTCAACACGAAGTTCAAGAAAAACTTCGATATAAATAAGCTAGATAAAAACAAACAGATATCCCCAGCTAACGAAGCTAAATCATTATGGTGAGAAATCCAGTAGCCTTAATTCTGCTTGAACAAGTAAAATCGTTCGGCGTAGGAGGAACACGTGTTAGGGTTCAAATCACCTGTCACGCATTCCTGATCGGAAAAGAGCTTGAAAGTACTGACAACGAGCAGAAAGTATAAATCTATGCGCAGGCACATAATCTGACAATGCTCCTAATTCTTTTTCTGTCCATGAACCACCCAGAGGTTTTGCTGCTCGTAGAAGGACATCACTGCACGACAAGCGTCCACCATGAGCAAGAAATGATCAGGTAAGCACGATGAATGAACACCAAAGTACTAAAGTTGTTTTAATTCCATGCCAGACAAAACGTAAGAGGTTCATAATCTATGTGTCTTGAGCCACAACATAAGTAGGTCCTTGTATTACTTAATTCTAAACAGCAGCGATAAATTTTGCGTTCTACTTCATGTCTTGCACGAAACCCATCTATCATACCTATAACTTTTACCCTCCAGTGTACAGATACACAATTCTATGAAGGAACGATCCAGTGAATGGCCAGTAGAAAACTTACGCTAGACTGTGACCCTTGATGCCAAGAGCAGGAGAAAGATCAAAAGGAGCAGAAGGTTTTCCCCAAATTGGACTCTTCCCTTGAAGGAGGCTGGTAAGTGGTTCCAAGCGGCAGCGCTTTGCCACCAATTTTGTGTCAGCCACTAGAGCGTAAGGGATACACACAATACCTGCATACACGTACTCCAGGATAATTTTCAGAACCTTACTGGAGAGTCTGGGTGATACATGTATTTCAGCTGGAGTTGACCTCAATTCGGACACTAAATCTGCTCCTTCCATTTCCCTTAGATGGTGAGAATCTGAATCTCCTCGCGAACCAGCTGTACCTAGGTTTTCACAAACTTTGACCTGTAACTCAGCTGGCAGCAAAGTTTCACATCTACTAGCAAGTACAACACCATGTGCTGCCAATCGACTTCCATCGCCTAGCACAAATATTACATCTGCCAGTAAGGGATCATCGAATGACATCTTGACATCCTGTCCCACTTTGCTCGGAAAGCCATATACACCGAAACACGACAAGGAACATGCGCTCCACCAGCGTACACCCTCGGCTCTAGTTCTATCCCCAGCCAATTTACTTAACATATGTACAAAATCTCCGTCCTCAAATTTACTCCAGTTTGCGGTGTCAACGATCTCCTCTGACATGGATTCACGTATTTTCTTTGCCCAATCTGAACCTTGCAGCAACTTGGGTAGGGCCCAGAGTGCAGTGAAAAGGACACAATCGTTGCCCTCCCAGCTCTCAGAATCAACACAACATGCCTTGGTTGCAAACGAATCTCTCATTGCAGACAAACGTTCCATCTTTCCCTGGTCAACACTGTCTGTCTGTCCTTGTATGATGCCTAGGATTACTCGCAGGATTTCAAGCTTGAGAAGTTGATCACGACACACTTCCACCCACGATACACACGCCACAGCTAGAAGATTTGTCATTGATTGGACGTGATGAAGCTTTACTGTCTTGGAAACTCCTAAAGCGGTTGTCTTTACAAGAGTAGGCAACCAGTCTAAGCCGTGAGATGTCAAGGTAGTTTCCAAGCACATTCTCATCTGGGATGAAATCACCTGAGAAGGAGAAGAGAGGAGTAAGAGTACTGCTTTGCAAATCTGGACGACCTCCAGAGAATTAACTGGTTCGTCCTTCACATGAAAAACTGTTCCACCTTCCTGCTTGTGCTCCATCTCGAACCACACAGGACTTTGCCCTCGTTTGCACAAAGCTCTCAACCATGAAGCGCTGAACATACGAATAAACTGGGTGAGCACCGAAAAATCTCTGGGCGAAAACTACGAATACTCAACGAGGAGTTTGGGGTAGCACTGCAAAGGAAATTGATATGCAGAGTTTCACTGACTCACCATGCAAGTTCGATGAGTTTGTTGTTTAGCTTTGCCGGCTCATTCTTTGCAGGTGAGGAAGAGGACTCCAAATCCACACAGTGATGTGCTCCTAGCCACCCAAGTATTTCCCAAAGCAGTGGTCTAAGTGTAGGACTAAGTTTATTTGCTCGTGAACGGCGTTCCACAGTAGAACTCGCATATTCTGTCATCTTTTCCTCATCGTTTGCACCAGATTTCTTGTCTCCTTTGTTTTGCACTCCTGACAGAACTAACAGAAGCAGTTCTTCTATTCCACCGTTCAAAAATAAAGAGTGTTGGGTGCCTGGCCAGCTTAGAATTGAGCTCGTTGTGTGAGCAGCTTCCACGATCAAAAACTCCAATTCCGGATACCATTTTCCTTCTCCTGAGCGTTTAGCTAGCTCGAGCCCTCTCAAGCAACTTGCAACAATGGGTGCAACGTGTGGTCCAGAGAATAAAGCTCCAAACGTGGACGCTTTCTGTGCACCCACAAGAGATAATCAGGCAAGATGTAAGTAAGAAGTCGTGAACAATGAAAAGACGGGGGTTATTTTCCAACCAGAGATTTTCACGGAGAAATCGAAATGATATATATGCAAAATGCAAGATATAAAGTTATGTTAATTCCTTTGAAGTGCTTTAGGTAGCCAATTTGATCAATCTTTCTCAACCCAATACCTCACCAGAATGCATCTTGAACCTACTGCAAATTTTCAGATGTCAGCATATACTACAGAAGGATCTGATAGAAATCCTCAAGTTACACGTAACATAGAATTTAGAAGTAATGGAGAAAAATAAACTTGACTTACAGAAAGTGAGGTGAGGAAGCGAAATGCTTCCAGCTGAACTCTGCAGTCCTTTGAAGAATGTAAGCAAGAGGAGATAGTTGACCAAAGACAGTCTGAAGCCTTTAATAACAAGGTTGCTACGCATCCACAAAGAGCTGCATCACCTCAGAGAAATAGCTACACGAATTAGCATCAATATCGAGCTGCCCTTTAAGATTCATAGCGAAAACAAATACAGTAGAAAGTGACAAAACCATGATAGTTCACAGACCTTCCACATAAAACGTGAATGCTAACAAAAACAAGCAGCAGAATCCAGTACTTACGGAAACCTGTAAAAAGAACCTGTCTGAACAAGGAGGTGGGAATGACTGGCTAGCAGTTGTAATATCAATGATCTATGTATACATGATGCGGAAAATATAATGCACAAATAATGATTAAAATATGATGATCCACTTCTAGTCATTTACTGGGTATTTAAGTATTGACACGAAATAAGGGCCGAGACAAGATAGGTTACCTAAAGCTGAAGCTGCTCGTAAAGCTATTTGTGCAACAGTGTCGCTATTGCTCGTGCATCGAAGAAGCAATGTGGTTCTGAACGATGAATTACAACCTACTCTATACCTTGCTTCAGGCCATCTCTCCACAATCACGGCGATGAGATCCATAAGTGCATTGTCTTTCACAATGCTGTCTCGGTCATCTTGAATAAGGTTTACGATGGCAAGCACATCGGCATCTTCCAGGGCTTTCCACGTGCTATCATCACCTGCCTTAACCCGATTAATACCTGGCTTTATCCTGAGGAGTATACCGTGTAGGGCAGTAGCTGCTGCAATGACTATTGACAACTTTGAGCACTTCAGAAGACGGGCCAAAGGGCCAACCAAGCGTTTGCCCCCGTATCCAAGCAAACCATCACCCATGACGACGATTAAATCTTCACAAACATCTGCAGCTTTGCTGAACACGGTTTCCCTTTCAGCCCCGAGTAGACTCTGAAGGGTTGCCACACACTCCTCCAGGGGTACCTATATATTAAGTCCAGCAAAGCACCTGTTACAATGGGTAGTTCCCGACCTTGTGGTTAATGCGTTACCACTTTGTTAGTGAATCGTCATTCTGAACTGAAAAAAATGCTTTTAGCATTGTATGATTTATTCACAGAGAGACTGGTAATGATGTATAGTACGGCTGCACAATCCATTTTGAAATGGAAAAAACATACCAAATGTCTGGATTTTGATAAGATTTTCATGTCCAAGTAAACCGCTCTTTTACGACCTACAACAGAAAGATGCAGCTATGAGGACTTCCTCAAGGGAAACTAAATCAGGATAATTACATCTTTCATCTGAGATGAAAGCTATCAACATGGGATGATACAATGCAGAGCAGGGCACAAGACGGGCTTCCATTCGAACAAATTAGATAGCTACCTATGCACATGTCCTGAACTCATCGTATTACCTGAAGCGAAGCATGGCGTCCACGGTGAGAGGTCAAAATGGAAACAAAGGCTGCAATGGCACGTAAGGCCTGAAGTTGCACCTCAGCGTCCGTATTGCACCATCTTTTCCCTGCCACCTTTTCTCTGTCCAGTTTAAACACAAATATAAGTCTTGTTCAGAAATGGCTTGGCTCGAAAATAATACTAAAACTGACATATAGAAATTTCAAACAGGTCTTTGATAAGATTCAGACTTTTATTATACATGCATTGCAGATAAATATAACAACAGAATCATGAAGGAGAACCTGAAATCCAGGCATGCTGTGCAAAAAAAGTTCAATAGTTTAAGGACAATGTCGATGCAAAGAAGATACGACCGAGCTGCATGGCATGATGCAGATGGATAGTCGTCATCACTTTTGGGTAAGAACAAAAATCATAACTAGGAGATACAATCATACGGGATTGAAGTATGCAAAAGTGGGAAAGACTTATTAAAATGGGAAAGAACAGGGCAAAATGCACAGTTAAATTAACATGATTGAATTGAAATTCTCAACGTCAACCAGATCGGCGAGATGTGAAATCGAATCCACATATTCAGAGCTACATGCTTTACGTAGGGAGATTCTGCATGCATTCCTCATTAGTGATGTAAATGGTGGACAAAACTGCAACCAAAAAATAATAAAAATTTCAAATCTGTGATTCAAAGACCGCTAAGAGGATAAAATCGTTTCCATAATGATAGACAGATGAAAATTCAAAGGAAAGGAAAACGAGACATGGAACTCACGAAAAAGAAGGCTTCAACCCAAGCTGCAGTGCACATTTCAGGCGCTGCAGCACCTGTTGCATCCGCTCTTGTTCTGGCTGGGGTACCCGCTGTTGCGGACGCCTTTTCCGATGGTGATTCATGGTGAATTCCGCCCTCCTTGGCGCTCTTTCCCTCCCCCGTTCTCTCGCTCAAACCCTCCCCCACTCACCCACGTCCGTCTTCACGGGGAAGGCATCTGGCAATCTATTTCTCCATCTTTCTCATTTATGCCTGAATCCTTCTCCTCGAATTCATGCCCGACACTGATCCAAAAGTTCACTCCCATCGGCTGGCGTCGAGTCCACCTCACGTCAGACTCTCAGAGCAAGGCCGAGGACGACTCACGGAGGACTTCGACTGCGCATCATCACATCATCCTTCCGCTGCGACGCCAAGCAGGAGGTGCTGCAGATCGCGCTCTTTGGCTTCACGTGCTTCGCTCGCGCGACAGACATATTCCCTGAGCCCAGCAGAGCCGAGCAGAGCAGTGCGTTGATGAGGGCGAGGCGTTGTCGCCGCCTGACCAGGAGCAGCTTTATCTCCCACTTTTATTTCACTATCGGCCGCGATTCATTTCGCCACAGAAATCTCGTACGAAATGAGGAATTGAGGGTATCTGATGTGGACAGCTGTGATAGGCCGGATCCTCTGACTTGGCACATGCCGTGGAACGCCGCAGCTGGAACAAATGAGAGTTTACCAAACTCATCTATCGCGAACATCGGCGACGCCAGAACCTCATTCGCGATCGCAAGTTTCTTTCCCGGGACCTGACTGACCCTGACACGCGACGAAATCGTAAAATCACAAGAATATGAAAGCAAACGATTTCCAAAAGATTGCGTCACGACTCGGCAGCACCAAAGCAATGGTAAATGCCCGGACTTCCGAGATCTGACTCCCAGGGGACGGCCAGCCGTCGATTGACCGCGACTTCATCTCGTCGCAGGGAGAGCTCCAGCTCCGTCAGCGTGAGGGGTCAGGGTCGCGGCGTAACCCTGACGTCCGGATGTCCACTGGACCGCGGTGATCCGCCGAGAACGACACTCGTTCGGGATTGGACGACAACGGAGCCACCGAAGATCTAGCGCACGGGATCGCCTGTCGAAGGCTCGGGGGCCAATGGGGCCAATGGGGCGGTCGACTGCTGCTGCGCAGATTGGTGCAAATTAGGGAATGGAAATGCGGGTTTCATTGCAACATGCATGCGCAGGAAATCCGAATTGGGCTATGGGCAGCGGGCACCGTCCCAGAAACGTGGCGTGGATGATGATGATGATGATGATGATGATTGCTGTGGAACAGGTGTGCCTTTCCTTCCGTTCTGGGCTGTTTTGACGTACGTGATTGAGCGAGTGAGGTGGTGTTCCATGGAGCGGACGCCTCTGCGCCAGTCCCGACACGCGCACCATCGGCGGGAGCATCAGCGGTAGAGGAGGCCGTCGCCCTGCGCCCGAGGCCGAGATCTTCTTCTTTTCTGCCTCGCTTAGTTTCGGCGCTTTGGCTGTCGGAGGTCGCTGCGTGCTCCGTCGGGAGGTCTTGTTGCGGAGTTGTGGAATGTGGTTGTCGAGTTTGCGTCTGTGCGTGTAGCCTGTCGTCGTCCCTGTGCGTGCTTTCTGTCGTGCTTTTTGTGCGTGCGTTGGGCAGAATTTCGTGCTCGCGAAGCGTTGGTCTCCCGAGGATGGTGTGAGGATTGGTCTGTGAGGGAAGCAGCGGTGGTGGTTTAGGGCACGAGTGTGTTCATCGTTCTTGGATGCTGGTGGACTCGCTTGAGGTGGGTGCTCATCTTTCTCTTCTTCTTGGAGGTGCTGGCGGTGGTGTCTGCGCGTCGATTGTGCGTCTTTTGCGAGGAGTTTCTCAAAGCGGAGATTGAGGCGCTCTTTTTTCCACCGTCAACCACACACCTTTCTTCCTTCCGAACCGGAAGCGTTTCCATCTCATTCCATCGAAGTGGTGGTCACTGGTCTTCTAAGTTCTCCTGAATGGAGGAGATGGTCCAGACGAGTTAGGTTTCTCAAGTGTAACCTCGGAGAAGTAGAGGATTTGTTATTGAGCTCAATGTTCGCCGGAGTGTAGAAATTCGACCATATTTTGCTGCTGAAAATGGCGGTCATGTCATAATTGCTATTTCCTGCACTTGGCAAGAAACAATTACTCCTCTTTTTCGACCTTTCTTCGACTTTTCTGTGTACTTGAAATTGGGAGGTTGACAAGTCCGACCATTGACGAGAGTCCACGATAAGTGAAAAAATTTTCCAGTATCGTACAATCTGCCCACAGTGAGAAACAGCTAAAGACCTAGAGAATATTTAATTTAGAACTCAGCTGTTGTGAAAGCAAGTTTTCGAGTCTTGCTGCAATAATTGGCAGTTTGTCGAGTTGTAAGAGGCGAGGTTAGAAGAAGCCCGTCGGGCGAGCTGAACCTCAAGGCAGCTAGCCAGCTTATGGCCTTGGGCTGTCATGAGGCGAGTAAAACTGCCTACGGTGCGGCGGATGCTGCGTGGAATGACACAGGATCAGTTCCCCCTCCTCCTCCTTCTTCCTCTCTCGGCGTGCCTCCTTTTTCTTATCAATCAATTGGTGTGACTCGGGGAAGGCAAAACAAAGGTGGTGGAAATTCAGCTTCGCCTGGTGCCTCTGGGTCGAAAAACAGCAAGGATCTAGCCTTGTCCCTCGCAGTTGCTGCCGCGAGATGTGTCCTCTTGGAGCTACCTCCAGCATTGATTCTGGAAATTTTTACGCATTTGGACGCTCGTGAACTCGCGGTTGTTTCTTGCGTTTGCACTGTATTCAAGCGACTATCATCCGACAGTCATGGCTGGAAGGACTTCTACTGCGAAAGATGGGGCCTCCCAGCTCCATCCAGCAGGGGCGGAGCATACTTGGCCCTTCCGGGAAAGCATTGGCGCGAGCTCTACATGGCAAGAGAGGCTACCAGCAAGGCAATGATGGGCAGGTTCACTATGGACATGCTTCATGGTCACACCTCCGGCGTCCGCTGCGTTCGCATTCTCCCTGCGGCCAATCTCATATGTAGTGTTGGCTATGATCAGACCGTCCGGCTGTGGAATATGGAGGAAGGCCTCCCTGTCAGCTGCTCCAGGTCATTGGGAGACACCCTGCGGGCTATCGCCGTGGACTCAAATTTACTAGCAGTGGCAGGCACCGAGTCCGTGGTAAGGTTGTGGCACGCAAACCCGGAGAATCCATATCTTTTTGATGTAGCAGGCAATCCGGCTTATCCAAATACCAGGGGCAATGAGACACTTCTGTATGGGCATACCGGTCCCCTGACTTGCCTTGCTCTGGATGGTTCCAATATCTACAGTGGTGGATGGGACATGTCTATCAAAGTGTGGGATCGCTCGAGATTGAAATGTACTCAAACTTGGAGGCACAGGGATTGGGTCTGGGCCCTTGTACAACAAGGTAGACGAGTGTTCAGTACTGCAGGCAGTGATGTATATACCTGGGACGTAGAGACAGGGAAGTTGTTGAGGTTGCGCACAGGAGTGCACTCGGGACAGGCCTATGCTGTTCAAGGCACCAGGTCGGGTCACATTGTCTTTACAGGAGGGGAAGATGGAGGAGTACGGATGTTTGATGATAGAATCTCCAAACGGCGCTCCGCGTTGACTGATTTCAGTGACGATTGCAACGATGGCGTGAAGGAAGCAATCGCTTCCTGGACCCCTCACAGCTCCGCAGTGTACTCACTGGCATTCGAGGATCCTTGGCTCGTTACTGCCTCAGGTGATGGTTCTCTGGCAATGATGGACGTCCGTCAAATTATGAAGAGGGCTGCTGGCACTGGCAAGCATACCTCTCTGGTCGGGGCCAGCGCTCGTTGGCGAAGATCGGGCCATTACATCGTGTCAAAAGAGGGTGAAACGGCTCAGAGGTGGCTTTCCGGTTTCCACAAAAGTGCTTGCACTGTAGATATAGGAGGAGATCGTGTCGTTAGTGCAGGAGAGGAGAAGACTGTGCGTATTTGGGATTTTTCTCAGGCCTTAGAAATTGAAAGAAGGGTGCAGGCTTCTCGAAGCAACCAATTTGAGCACCGTATGAGGCGAAAGAATGTTTCGTCTACAGTTGAACAAAAGGGTAAGCATGCCGAACTGACTACTAACGGAAGTAGGAAGAATGGTTCTCACAGGTCAGGCAAGGATGGACACAATGGCAAGGAGAAGGGTCAAAAAGTGAAAGACCATCGTCCAGTTTTGGCCATGGGACGGAGTGGCACTAAAAGCCAGTCCCATAGAGGACCGGTGGAAGAGATTAACAGGACAAGGGCAAGATATGTGGACTCTGTGTCAGTTCCTTCCTGATTCTCCCCTACAACAGCCTGGACCAAAGCGATGACTTCCAAAGTTGGGGAGTGGTAATGTGGCATGGTCTGTTACCTTTTAGTTATAGATTGGCCTGCGTTGGAAATAGTGTCCATCCCAAGTCCGAATGCTGGCCCCAAGTCAGCTTGTGATCAGCTTCTTGTAACTGCTTCATCACTGGCACACAGGAGACTGGTAATATACCAGTATTGCATAAGCACACAGAACTTTGTTCGAGATCATGATCTTCAGTAAGTTCTTGGATGTTCGCAGGTTTGAGTTGAAAGCTTGTCATGAAGTTTAGGTGAGCCCCTCGTGCAGTGAATGTGGCCAAGGTTAATGCAAAACTTCAATCGCCCTACTGATATCTGTTCTCCCTTTACCACTTCATCTGAAAGGTACTGTATTTATTACACTTCTCGCAGATAGAACCGTTCTTAAGAACGTGATACAAGAAGGTTATCTGACCTCGATCCTTACCTACCGCTGGATATCCGGTCTCCATTGCAGGCTTTACAACAATTCTCATCACATTGAATTCTCAACGAGGATTTGCGAAATAAGTGCGGAATTTAGTCAGCAAATTGTGTGATATACATCACCTGAACATTTGTTTGGTCATGTTAGTTGAGAAGTCATGCTTTCTTTGCTAAATCCTGGATGATCGATCGATTTGCTTAGACGAGTTCTGATATTAGCCAGTTATTTATTGCTGGAGATGCTTCTAATTATGATTTTATAGCATTAGCATTAGATGTCTGGGCATGCCATTTTGCTGTTGGTGTGGCTGAATGTTAAACTTGCATTGCTAAAGATGTACTTGAAACTAAAAAAGTATTGTGTGCATTGAGTGGAAGCTGGGTCCATGAGGGCTCTAAACGCAACTGGAGTGATGTGCGCCTACTGTGTTTGCTTCACTTCTGAATTTTGGTCATCGGCACGAATTCCTTGGTGATCGTTTGTTGTTTGCAATTGAAACACTCAAATCTAACAAGGTTGTAGAAATGTTAGGTCCAAATACTTTATCTTAGAGTCCATAGGCTAACCTGGAGTGGTATATCTTGTAAGGTGGCCATGTCAACTTATCTAAGAAATACGATGTTTAGCCACCTCTTGTCATAAACAGGACAGGTGACATGTCTTCACAAGTGGCCGACGGAGGAATTGAATTACGTGGAGACTTGTAAGGACTCTGGAGGTTCAGTTGTTATCATGGCGTCAACATTAATAGTAATCCTGGTATTGAAAAATAGTTTTCATTTGTCAAGTGCAATCGCTGGCATTCACCTGCAGTATTCTTTCCGAACTGAATGCGAAAAGCCGAACTCAGCTGTTATTCTACTCAGTGGCCCACTTTCTGTGAAAAGCTATGTGTGACATAGACTGGAATGAGGTTCGACGCGTGTGGGATACGATGTACAATCCCTGAGGAGATGAAGTGTCTACTGTCCTCGGTCCAGTCACCGATTGAAGAAGGCTCGGAGATTCCTTGTATTGAGGACAATCACATTAAGGTTGCAAGTAAAGACTGGAAAGTATTGTGTTTACCTGCTGCTAAAGAAGCTGAGTGCTAATTGAAGGGCACTGTAGGGGGTGGATCACGTTTAAAAAATACGCGCTCAGGTTGAAATCACGACCTCTTTCAAAATAAACGTAGTTGCAGTATTGCATCTTATTCTTTTCGTTCTCTGAGCGTAAGAGTATAACCATGATGCCTCAGACTTCTGTGGGAAGTCAACTGGACAGATATGAAGCCCTTTGAGCTTCACGCCCTTCGAATGACTAATATCGAGGAATTCATTCGCTGGATGAAGCTTTCTCGCCCTTGGTATTTGACAATATCATCATCATGGTTGATGGGGTGTCGGGTCAGATAGTGAAAAGAATGGGAAGAGCCCATGGAGACTCGCAGGGATGAAGAAAATGAATAAGATAGGGTAATTTTCTGCAGCATCGCAAGTTAGTTATATCACAACTAAGTAGCCCCAACAGCAACTGGCAATAGCCACTTTTCTCTACCAACATTTACAAATATATTTTCTAAGATTAATTTCAACGGGTGAGTACAATATAACAGCTAAATTTAAAGTCTAGCCAAACATCATAATAGTCTTAAGGTACACAGAATTATTGTGTATATCCATACATCTAGAAGACCTATGTCATCGTGAACTTGGTTAAATCAGATACCTCCACGTTTTAAAGAGGTTGGTTACTATCTTACATTGTTTATAGGAGATGGTATGAATACGATACAGTTAGAAGAATGGATTATTTTCATAAACTTCTTGGAGTCAAATATTTTTTCATATATAATTTCGAGTCTACACTTACTAAGAGGTGAATTGTGTAAATCGTATATCAGTTGTTGTTGCTCCACTTCTTGTCAAATGAGGAATATGAGCAATCTTTTTGTTCAAAAGTGAAGTATTAAGCGTTAACATACGGATGGACCAAGCCTGCGTGTAAATCTCTTCGATTTGCAGAAATGGCTACAGAAAATTATTCATTAGATTTTGAGAACAAAACGTCGGAGACTAGGTTATGTCACCAGTTAAACGACGCGAGGTGTTAGTGAACCGGGCAGGGAAAGGTCGCACGCCTAACAAACAGTACAAGAGTAAGTATGTAGAATTTCAGTTAAAATTAGGGAAAAATACATTCCAATAAATTATTCTTGGACTTCGGGGCTGAGAGAAAAGAATTCAGATTCGAAGAGCAAATCAATGACCTTGTGCAATGGCTGCCGAGCAATGGTCGAGTAACCACCGGATCACTGCTGTCGTCAACCTTAATCGCAGCCCATGTTGTAGCCCCAGGCTCCATATGCCACTTACAGCCCTGACATGCGTAACCGAACCCCGGACATTTGACAACACTCCAGCTCCAGCTTTGACAGCCAGAGGGCCCTACTGGCGACAACATGTATTTATCTCCTTGATGGTGCTGCTTGCCCATCAGCTCCACTCTTGCAAGCACAAGCGCACCATGTGCACTTAAACACTTCCCAGGCTTTACAACGGATCCTGCACACTTGCATGTAATTGCAACTATCCTGTAGCCAAGATTCAGTAAAGGGACACACAATCGAAAGGCTACTTACTCCTCGTCCTCTTCCTCCTCGAGGTTTCCTGGTAGAAGAGAGGAGCCGTATACAGACAGTCGATCTTCTCCCTCGGGATGAAGAGAGAAGCAGTAGGCTACTCCACCTCTCTCTCTCTCTCTCTCTCTCTTTCCAGAGTCTCGGGTAACACCGAGCCGACCAGATCTGCTCGACCCATGGTGGGCATCATAAAGCGAGGCTTGGAGAAATGATTGTGTCTCACAGACAGTTTCTGACTCGGTCAGTCCAAAGGCAGATCGGATAGTGTTGGTTCAACTTTTGACCTTAAGCAGAGGAGCTTCCACTGCCATCCTCCACAACCGTTTGATGGTGAATTAAGAATGACTTTCTCCCTCCAGCATTCAGAGCTGGAACAGTAAGGGAGCTGCTGCCACAAGCTGAAGAACACAATGTATGGTTCCAGGGGAGGAATTCTTTTATCCTCATTGAGTAAGTGGGTTTGTTATGGAGCTCACTTGGTGTACAGTTGCCACATTCAGGTGTGCTAACATGCTGCAGAGTCATCAACAATGGCCCTGCTCATTCAGCCTGTAATGGAACCTGGCGGGTGCTAGACAACAGTCTTGTAACTCAACACAGTTGGCTGCAGTGATTTTGCTCATGAAGTGAGCATTGCAGTTCATCACGCACAGGGTTAGAATGTTCGGATGTGGACTCGATTGCCGGCTACCGATAGTATTCAACGAAATCTGGTGCTATTTGATTAAACTCAGCTCCCATTCAGTCAGCAGAACAGAAATCAAGGAGGGGAGAACAGTGCGACTTCTTAGACACTGTTGACGATATGGAAGTCCATCCCGCTTGTCTCTACCATTGGAAATATTAAGGTCCCTCCTCTCGATTTTTGAGACACAAGGAACAAAGATGGAGTTTATGAGCTCTACAAGAGATTCTCTGTTTCGTCGATTTGCAATAGTTTGAACACCTCCTTTGAATCTCTGACAGTACAGGTCTCCCAAAGAAGAATGTTCACATGCCCAATCCGTTCATGTGCATGGGGAAGAAATGATCCATACGTGGAGGAACCTGAAGCCTTGGCTTTTGTGCACCGATGTCCAATTCGACACTGCACCAAACTCCATATCCACATATTCTGCATTTCTTTCTCACCTCAAGTTTCTACGTCCTTCCAGATATTTTGTTTCTTAGCTGCACATGTCAAGTCCATCTTTCTTTTCTCATCAAATCCTCAATACCTTCAGTTGACGGCGTACTTGCTCCCCTCGAGCCTCCACCAACCTGGTCGCAAACTTAAGCTGAGGGTGGAGTTTGTAGCCTGTAGGTTACAGCTTTGCAGACGTGATCCAACTCTCTCTGTCTCTGTCTCTGTACATGATTCATGAACTTGTGTGCATTGGTGACTGGATCCGGAAACCTGGAGCTGTACGCAGCACTCTTTAACTGCCGGGGAGAGTACCTTTATTTTCAACATAAATCCAACTGCTACGATGACTTTGACTCGAGGGGAGAAATGAAGATCATCGATGGAAAGTGAGGAGGTGATCACACCGACCACATTTACGTGGTTCCATTTGTACCAATTACATGACCCCGAGGCATCAAAGGTGTGCAACACATCCAAGGTCGCCATGATTCAAGTACCAAGGTAGGACAGGAGGAGCATATGCGATTGAATGGCGAGAATCTTCAAACACTCTATTTTCAGAAGGCGCTTTCCGTGAGAGCAACTGATGCTGCTGACAAAGGTCGCAGATCGACCCAGTGATATGGCACTCTCTGATTGACTCTTATAGCTCTCGAAGTTCCAAAGTACCGGTACAACGATATCATGAAGACATATTCCTTGTTAGAGATATATTCCTTCGTACCAAATCTTTTCCTTCTGGGGCTAGCATTCCCGGACACGTTCTTCCTCGCTCATGAGAATTCCTCGCGTGATTGGAGCGTCTCTAGATCTGGATCTGAATTTGACGGGAAGGTTGTGCAGTACCGCTGCGTCAAGACCAGACACCGACCATGCAGGACCTGGGGCCTCAAATTTGACCAGGCGAAGGTCTGCGAGGAGCTGATGCATCTGCTTCACGTTTGGCCTCCTCTACTCTCGCCGGCCTTCTTCTTCTTCTTCTTCTTCTTCTGTCTGCCCCACCCCTGGCCCTGGCTGGACCAATGTGCAACCCCGTTGCAGAACATCTCCGACACATCTGAGCTAATCTGAGAAGAGATGTGACTAGCGATGATACATAGCCACGATCACAATAAATCGTCTGTTGAAATCTGACCGAATCCATTCGATCCTCTCGAAAGATCTATTCAATCTCTCTGGTGGTAGATGTCATGGATCCAATCAAAACACTGAAATTTGTGCTCCCTCCTGCCTATCTCCCTCTCTCTCTCTTTCTCTCTCTCTCTCTCTTGCTCCTCTACCACAGCTCGAATCGGGCTGTAAATGTCTTCCATTTGATCCGAAGAATCACAGACATGAGATAATTAGTTGAAATCTGGTGACAGTTTCAGTTGATTACACACCACGCAGCTAACACGAATATACTTTTCTTCCGCTGGGGCAATGGAGAATCAAAGTCTTGCTGACCAGTCTTTACGAAAGCGGGGATTCAGGCCCGTACTGACCATCAATGCTCAGAATCAATCGATGCTCACTGGCTTCTGTGTGGGCAAACAAGCGCAAATCAGCAGGACCACCTTGAAACATGAGAGCGTCGATGAGACGAACCAGCCATGAACGGGCTGCACATTATTAGCGTCTGATCATAAACTCCTTGAGCATATCGATGAGCAATCAGGTTCCAAAAGGGAGGTCACAAACGTCAGCTAACTATGGATGATTAGCTTTTATATAATTAGTTATGATGTACAAGATCTGATCATGAGGCTGGGTTTAAAAGGCTTTCCTGCTAGCGCAGGACATGGTGGGGGTGGTGGTAGGGCGACCTCAGGCGATTCTGTTATCACATCACCCCTAGCAATAGCCACTTGGCACTTGCTGCCACTGCAGGCAAAGTAAAATATGTTTGCATCCATTAAAGTTTTGAACCCCAAAGTATGGCATCATGCGGCTCACTTCGTCCATCAATTAACGCATCCATTATTCAAGCCTTTGAACCACGCCCCACTACGTACATTTTTCAACGGACACCAGAATGTGCAGAAAACAAGAGACAGTTTTCTCGAGCGGCAGGGATTTTTGGAAACAGGACCGTGATATCAACCTTGAAAGCCTGATTACGCGCAGCATGGGAAGCCTCGTCTTGCAGAGCGAGCATTAACGTTCAAACTTCATCTCGTGCATGACGAAACTATTATAAGATCACCCGCAGTCTGGTCAACAGCAGGAAATGCGACTTCGATCTGGTATATTACCAGGAATATCATGTCAAAGCGTCTCGGAACTAATGCATGACAAATCGGTTCGTCATGGAATCAAGTTTTACCCGAGTAAACAAATGAGCTGAAAAGGTTGGTGCCATTAAACTATGGTCAACTGATGTTCCATTTGATTATGTCAGGATCCATGATCTATTGTTTTTTCGAAGAAGCGGATTAAAAGATTGCTTATCTCAGACTAGCTGACCAAAAAGCTGAAACCCTTTTTTACTAGAGTATGACATATGAGTGAGAGTGAGAGAGAGAGAATTCAGCAGTCTGTACGAAGAGGACATCAGCATAAGACAATGCACAAAGCATCTTTGACACTTACCAGCTCCAAAATTTGAAATCTACCTTCCACAGCAAATCTCGCCATCACCGCCACTTGTTTTACACACAAGTACTCAAGCACAGATAATGACGCATATAATATAAGCACGAGCACCAGCTTTTGGGACATCACTGCTCCGATCCTCAGCGGTCCTCAATCACCTCCCTCCCCTCCCCTCCGTCCCTTGGCCCTCCTCCAGTGTCACTGTCCGTGACATCGATGCTTATATCTGAGCATCAAGTGGATAGATCCAAGAGATTCGCCACTCGCCAACTCCGTCCAGTAGCTTGACCGTGTCACTATAGTAGCTCGATGTCGAGCTGTCGCCACGAGAAGAGGGGACGAGAGGAGTGGGAGTAGACGAGAAGAGGCATTGAAGCTCCATTGAAGCAAGAAGGTGGAACCAAGTGCGACATGTATGTTGCGTGATTTCTATGACTGTGCCTTGGAAACCGTGAGGGCAGACAGAGAAAGGGGGGGCTACGATCAATTCTTTCACTCTACTCTCGAGTGGTGTTCAACTAGCTTCTTCATGGGATCTGGATCAGCGGCAGCAGCAGCAGCAGCAGGACGAGGACGAGGAGGGGCTTATGATCTTTCTTCTTTTATGTTTTCTGTCTCCCAGTTTTTCCAGTGGAAGAGCTTTATCGAACCCCAGCCTCATGATGATGATGCTGGTGCTGATGACAACCATTCACTGCTCACTTGATCTGAATCATCAACGCAAGGAAAAGGCGTCATCATCTTCTTTCTTCTACTTGAGCCATGTGTTCACCATGGAGGTTTTCTCAGCCCATGTTTTTGGAATGTTACTTGAACGAGTTCATCATTTTTGTGAAGAAGACCATGGTAATAACATTTAGACCATCCTTTCGTCTGTCAGGGTATTAGTGGAATGAAGACATCAGGAACTCTCTTTCCGAGAAGAATGGGAAATAGTGATTATTCCCATCGGACAAATATTCTGTTGAAAGTTTTTGGAAGAATCACATGTCCAAAGCAATCACATGCTTCAAATGATTCCTACAGAGTTACTTGCCGTTAAAGTGAGGACAATAATACCAACTGGTTCCAATATTATAGAGAAGACTCTTTGATATCTAATCAGATCAAGGCTGGCCTTCCATCTTGCTCTCTTTCTCTAGTCATCAAAAAGTTGTTAATAAGTAATGTAACACTGCCACAGTTGGTATTCAGCCCGAACTTTTCTTCATTATTTGATTGGTAAATGCTGATGTTTGATACTGCATTTTCAGAAATTACTTGCCATCTTTCGCACAGAGAGAAAGTAGACAATAAACAAATCACAATTTTCTTTGCTTGAGATAGAATTGCAGTTTCTTTTCCAATACTATCGACGATTAGACCTTGTTCTTTTCATTTTTATCCTTATTCGGATTGATGGGGTCGTCCCATCGTTGTGTATATCCATGGCCCCGCATTCACTTCATATGATCAACTTACCCATGGTGATCTTACGAAATCTTACTGAATTGATTCAGGCCACCATGGATTATATTAGAAGCTGTAAGTTGAAAAATCAGAAGAAGAGAACAAGAAAAGCGAGCAAGGATTTGTCCCTGCCTCCTTCAATGTTGAGGTGCCAACCGAATGCACTGTATTTGAAATCAGGACCGGTATCATCCATTGTTGGTTCCAAACATCGACCACTTTCAATGTATCTCGATACCGAAATTTCCATTTCTATGAGTGAGGCTTTCCCCTATAAATTACGTGGTGTCAATTTTATTGGTGAATATGCATTTAGGTAATATGAATTTTGACTGGATTCTAAAAAGATCATCACAAAACAGAATACACAATTGGATCAACAATTTAACAAAGATCTGTAGAATACAATAATCACGACATTTGAGATCAACAATAGATACCTACGCGTAATGAAAACTAATTACAATGCATAAATTTCTGATTGTATTAGTGTTTCTGTAATCTGTTTCGAGATAATAGTCATATAAATAAAAAATGGACTTGTAATAAGTGAATTGACGTCAACTTCTTGCTTCTATTTGGTTTGCAGAAAACATGATCTCAATTGGGATGATTTATACAATTTAGTCTATTGTTCAAAGTGACCGTCGTCCTTGGATTTCGGTTGACACTCTTGCAGTTCACTCTTGACTAGATCCAATGCATCTTTCAAATAGTATCTCCAACATCAGAGTCACCCAAAGTCTTTTTATTGTTAAGATACTGAAAAGAGACTACATACAGTGAACCTTTTGAAAACTTTTATACAACTGAGAACTATACCTCATGTGTTTGTCTAGATTCATATATTCACTTGCTCAACCAAGTAAATATTTAAACTTAACTTAGCAAATTTCTAGATAACCATTTCACTAACTAAAATGTGATGTTCAGATAAGTAGAATTTTTTTTCAGATCATGAAGCAGTAAACAAGACACGTAAATGAATTAATTAATTATTTTAAAAAAAATTTCTCCGATTTGTGTGTTGATTCTTAATTAACATTTTTTCATTCTTTACCTTTACGTTTTCAGATGTTTTCGATTTTTATCACTAAGATTTGGATACCGTCAACCTGAATCATATGAAATCCCATGAAGAACCTAAAAAATGTACATAAATTTTAAACAAAGAGGTAGAGATACACATCATGATTTTGTAATCATTATCATGTGATAGATTGATAAATCATTAAAAATATAAACTTAGAAATTTTGAGATTTTGATATGTAATTATTATTCTTTATATTAGTTTCTTACAATTAGATACAAAAATATGAAACACACCACCATTCATCCAATCACTTCCACATCAATAAACATTATGTAATTTATCATAAACATGACCTTATGTACTGGAGCTCCATCTAACAAATTCACTAACATATTCAATTCACAACTTCATAGGTTTACGTCACTTTTTCTTGGGTATTTTTGGAGCTCAAATTTCCTACAAATTTGCAACATTCTCAAAGATCAAAATTTAGATCAGATTAGAATTTTTTGAAAAATTGCAGATCCAACACCATAAACCACAAAATAATGAAGATTGGAATGGAGATGTTTTAATCTTTCCATTTTACTATCAATTTTGACAATTGTGTTGTTGAAAACTATACACGTTCACAAGAATATTCTAGTATTAAATTGCAGTGAACTCTTTCACTACATTCATGCATTTGTATGTGTATACTAACTAAAGGATTTTTTGCATGTCATTTTGATTCTTGATATGACCAACATAATAGTAAAATAGTTCAAAACTATCCCAAATTTCTAGTTCCCACCAGCTGGCTGATGGAAATATATTGACTACCGAACAAATTGGAGTGATTTCATCTACACTTGAACTAGTTTATAGCTAAATAGTTTAAAAGTAGCTAAACTGTTATCGGAAAAGTCGTTCTTTTCTCAAGATCAACTTTTCCAATAATAATTTATCTATTTGTACATTCATCATAAAAATGAAGAACATAAGGTTCAGTTGTGTGGTTCAGAATGATATACATACATATCAATCAAAAGAATCCCAACAGAATTCTAGTCATACGTATTGCGTAATTTTCCAATTCAAATTTGAATACTCTACAAATGACTCTTTTTTGAAAGAGAATGAAACTTCTAGATTGAATCATTTGAATCATAGTTAATACTGTTAATATATAGCCAACAGAAGTAAAAAAAATATCTAGAGGAACTAACAAAAAAAATGCACACAATTGTTCTAATATTTCAAGTTTACCGCGTTGCACTCCTTCGCTCGGTTATGACACACAAGGGATGGGAATCACTATAAATAGCCATCACATGTCCCCTATAGTTACTCATTTCAGTATAAATAATAAATGCAAACTTGGATCAGTTGCCATTAAGATTTGGTATGTAGAAACCAGCATAGGAGTACATTGTTAAGAAGCTAAGGTTGGAATTTGAATTGAAATAGATGATAATCAAGGTTGCAGTCTCCTTTATTTACTGTACATATTTTCTACTTGACTATTTTCAAATCGATATATGAGCCACGGGAAAGTCAAATCCCCTTTTATACAAGAAACAATTTTCTGGTATGAGAAGTATACCCAAAGATCAAAACATAGTGACCATCAACGTCGTGCTACAGTTAATAAATAATGCAAGGATTGGTTGAGTTATGAAAACTGACCACATTCTGTGAATCTGAAGAACGAGGTTCTTGAACATCTCCCACAAATTCGTCCAGGATGAGGTCATATTTGTCTACATTCAATGCATATGTCAACATAGACTAGATGCAATGAATGCAACCGTCAGATGTTTCAAGTGTTTATGTGTTCTACTCATAACCCCAAGTCTCCTCATAATTTAAAAGGCTGAAATGGACTAGATACAATGTACCTCTTAACATCTTCCAAAGCCCCTAGATATCATGTGGTTGTCTAGATTCATTCATACAAATGCTCATTCAAGTTTGAATTCGAAAGAAACTTATTATCGGGTAATATGCTATGATGAGTGGGTAGATTTGCAAGCAGATATTGCTTAAAAGAGGGTATGCCACACTATATCTGTTTCACTGAGTTTGTAAATTTTCTCTAATACCTAATATCGGGCCAGATTCAAGGTACTCTTATTTGACTTTTCACTAAGTAACCACTTACTAGAGACCAAGGTTACAAAGATGAGGTATTTTGGACTAATTTGCAGACTTATGCTAATCATAAACTTTATTTTCGAGGTGAGAACTTCATCTTGCGTAAAATCTTCTAGTGAGAAACTTAGAGAAATCTCAGCTGACGCATCCACAATGTGCACATGGGAGAAAAAATGGTCTTTTCATTTCTAGGGAGAGATTTTCATTGTCAGTTTTTCGCTCCATGATCCCAAGAAATATTATGTATTGAAGGATTACCGGAGTAATCCAGAAAATATTATCAGTGACATTATCATTGATACCTTAAGAAGCAAAGATGTATGATGTTTTGATTGACTATGAACTCTCATGAGTTCTTAGTTTTACTGAATCGAATCGAATTGTGAGGAAGGAAGTCGCCAGAAAGCTAAAGAATATGATATGAATAGACAATTCATCATTATGTATAGCTGACTGATGTGGTCTAAAGTTTATTTGATTGTGTGCAATATCCCTTTCTTCAAAACTGATGCAAGGATTTGTGGATGAAGGTGGTTTTCCTCTAGTCATGTATTGGAAGATAACAATGCATGTGAAATACATACGACAATAAAGAAATAATCCAAAATGCACAGAAATGAAATTCGTTTTGCCAAGCGTTTTCTTCTCAAAAAGGATGAAAATTTTGCACCCTCAATTTTGATGAAATCATTTCTAGGGCTAGGCCCACGATGTGAAAAGTATTTAATCTTATCTAGGATATCAATGCGTCTTTATCTAAAATTCAATTTGTTAATAAAATAAATGTCATAAAATAAACGTTTCGTATAAAAACATCATTTAGAGAGATATATTCTCTATAGGCTTCAATTAATGAAATTATATCAACTTATATAAAACTTATAATAAAAAACAAAATTAATATATCCGCCCTAAATGTAATAGGTACATGTCGCAAACATCAGACGCTGTAGTCTCTTACAAGTCCCCAAATAAAGATGTGAAATGTATGGGCTGCTTGGGAGACAATGGCCAATGCACTTCGAGTTGCCTTGCCCTGCCGAGGTAAATATCTCAAAATGGAATGTTGGAGAAGGGGTACCGACCACAAGAGCGAGGGACGAGTTTGGGAAACAATTGCCACGCAGAAGGCATGCGGCCTACAATGCCCCAACTCATGAGGACAACGGCGCCTACGCCTCGTGGCACCGATCTTAGATCGTGCCCTACGGAAAAGACGAAAAGGAGCTCTCGTCCTGCGATTCGATGGCGGCCATGGAGTTCTCAATCCAGAAAAACAGTTCCACCGATCGGCCCTCGGAGCTCTGTCCTAGCTCGCGCTCGTAGCATAGCTAGCTGGCTGGCCAAGGTCAGGTCGGGGCTTGAGGCGCCAGATTCCAGTTGCCAGATTTTGCGGGCTCTAGAGTTGTGTGATGTGAGCACTGCAGCGATGCAGCTGTCCTAGCACGCCTGCCTAGTTTCGTTGACGACCTTCAGACCGTCGTACAAAACAGCATATCGATCTGCAGGCCGAATCGTCCAACGCCTACATCTGCCTACATATTTTTAGCCATCCTTTCGAAGAGTCTAGCTCTTCTTTAGCCTCTAGGTCTCTTCATTATTCTTTTCTGTATGGATGCAAACTCTTGTTTCATCACCAGGTTTGGATTCTTACTCAACGTCGAATTGAATGTGTCACTCACTCCTCTTGAAAGTTTTTAAAAATTACAAATTTCACAAGTGGCATGGATGGATGCAATTTCTTGCCATCATAGTCCTCCTGGGAATTGTATCATTGTGGTGGGGGTGCGGTTTTTATCTTAAAGCACTGTTCATAAACCCTATGAGCAGGAAGAGTACAGGACTTTGGATGTTGCTCGCTTCAAAGGAGAGTGTAGGAAAATGATGCATCTACAGAAGCAACCTTGTGTTGGGAATGCGACAGCACACAAGAGTTTATAGAGTAGTCCATTTTCCACGGGAATCGCTTGATGAATGTGATTACAATACGTCCTGATAGAGGGAGTGGTAATATTAAGGACATATGCATTTTTCTCCGGTGGTATCTTTGGATGACCAAAAATTCATGATAGACTAGATGAGATATTTCTACAGAGTGTTATGATAAGCAAGCGCTATGTGCACCGCACTGAAATTACAATAAGACGGCACTTTCCACCTGAGCTACTACTGAATGCGTACGGTCGTGGTCGTAGTCTGACATTCATCCGTAGAGCCAAAGGAAACTCTCAGAACGTTCCCGCTCAGCAACAATGATACCGTATGATATACCTCCTTGCAAGGATAATGACTCGACCATGTGCTTGATCACTTCCTCCCTTCTCCACCTCGTTTTAGTCGTAGTCAACGGGTGTGGTAAGGTTTCATTTGAGATAAAGTTCTTAGTTCGAATCGAATCAAATCAAATGCAATGAGGTCCAGTAAAAGTAAAAATAAGTTTGGGAATAATCCATAATTGTGATGACGCATTGCAATGAAGCAAGAAACCCTTTGATGAATGGCTAGCTCCAATCTCATCAAAATAGTACTACTAATGTCTTACAACAACGAGTAATTCTAAGAATTATATATATATATATATATTATTTTTCATGAATATATAAATATAAATATTTCTAATTTTTGAAAAAAATATTCATTGCACCAAACTAGAGGATACACGCTACATTACCATTTTGCGTCGTTTTTTGTAAAAACTAAGTTTTTTAGTTCTCTCACTAACTTTATTTACCTATCTAATAATTTCAGAACTCGACTCATAAAGAATTTAACTCTTTGACAAATATCTTTGTGGATTAGCTTTAGTATATAAGTCAAGAAGAAATTTACAATGGAGTTCAAGCATAAGTATTAGTTATATTACAACAAGCTAGCATCCACCGCAAAGAGCTATGGACCCGGGGATGGGGGGGGGGGGGAGAGAGAGAGAGAGAGAGAGAGAGTACGTTGACAAACCGAAGAGGAGGAGAGGTTTGCTTCAGTGTTCTTGCCGCCAATCAGAATTACGGGAAAGTAAAAGATTCACAAATGAGGTCGGGGAAGGATCTGCCATCGAGAGCTGGACATGAGATCCACATCAGCCCTCGCCTCGTTCCGCAGCATTGTGATGTGACTGCCAAGCGCGAATGTTACGTCGACTCGCACACTTGCGTCGCAAGGGCCAGGAGGGCGTTGAGTCACGGCACCTCCACGTGTAAGTAGGCAGGCCAGGCAGCCGTCCCCATCGGCAGCCCCGTCGGTACTACCGCGAGGGAGAGAGCCTCGGTGACTGGGATCACCGTTGCTGCACGGGACCCCATGTGAGCGTCATGGAGATTTCCGGAAGCTGCCACTTCAGACTGACGGACAGGACTGGCTGAGCCGCAGCCTGTGACTGGGACTGTGACCGGGACTTCGTATGAGGATAAAATCGAGCGACACGCATGCATCGAATCGCTGCGGGCGATCAACTGAATCTATGCCTCGGGGCCCCAGAGCCATCACGTCAGCACGACAATCGGCTCTCGCCCAGTTTACTGTAATCATTTAATTGTTTATTTATTTCCGGCTCGTGCCCTCTGAGCCCCCGGGCTCTGCTGTGTTCATGGCCGAGCGGGAAGGGCAGGAACTCTCCAGCCCAAGAAACCTGAAATGTTTTCGCTGAGACGAAATGATTTGCGGATAAGGGAGGAATGGAAGATATGGATCGATTGTGTAGCCACTGTGGCAAGCTTTTCCATATGGTCGGGGTTCCCGGTTTCTGAATCTCGTGGAGGGCCTGGCAGAGCGGCTTTGAATGGGGGATGTCGTTGAATGGCAGTCTTCATGACTGCAGCCAGCCAGCCAGCCAGCCATGTACGAAGGGGAGAGGTTGTAGTTTGGGGATCCGATTCAGCAGAAGTGGTGCTGAAGGTTCCTTTGACACAACAGTGTGTCAACCGAGTCCTCCGAGTCTCCACCTTTCGCCATCCCTTTTGCTGTCGACCTCGCCTATGATTGAGCACATTTTCTGAAGCTGGTCTCCGCCATAAACCCCGCCTGGAAAAGTGCAGTCAGTCACGGGGTTGATATATATTCAGAACGTTTTGACAATAGCGGCACCAGCTGCAGCAGGAGCAGGAGCAGGCCATCGAGCACTGCTGCTTCTCTTCCTTGAGCCAGTGATCCGCCGCATCATGCTGCCAACCGAAATCAGCCAACTGCTTGACTGGGCCGGACCAGACTCGGCTCTGGGGTCAAAGGAGTATCTGAACCAGAAGACTTCAGTATCATGGCGATGAAAACAGGCGAGGTGCGCCTCAAGACGCGCTGAAATCTGGAAAATTTAGGACATCCGAGGCCAAAAAGCCATGATTTTATAAACAGAGGTCAACGGTGCAGTTATAAATACTAGGGCGTTCTCCTCTTCAGTTCAGAGTGATTCCAACTTTCCAGCTTTGGCGAGGGAGCTCAGGACTTTGGACAAAGTGTCTTGCGTCGTTTGAAGTGCGCATCAGGTGTTGAGACTATTTTGTAACTTCTGTCAATGGTGTTTATTAAGCTGATCCGGGCCTTTCTTCACTTCACTTCACCTCCCTGACGTGGGTTGCTTGCATGGCTCTTTGTGTGTGCTTGGGTGCGGATGTGTTAAAGCCCTCCCTGCACACAACCGCGCTTGGCAATGGACAGGGACATGCTTTGAAAATGGGAGGGGATGACCAACTCCTTATAATTTTCATGGGTTGTGCATCACATCAAGCCAGTTGGAGTAGACATCGTTGCGGGGCCAGGCCCAGAGTTTGTGACGAGCTTGATGGTCTTTGAACAGGGTACCATCCCACCCACCCACCAACCAACTCGACCAAACCAGTCCAATCAACAGCCAACCGATGAGCCTGCAGCGATTAGAAAATAACTGCCGAAATCTCGCCCTCCTCCTCCCTGTGCAGTGAACTTATCACGACACATGATTGCCCTGCATCCGAGTAGGATTGGGCGAAACAGTCCCGAACAAGAAGAACAGCCAGTTTGAACAGCAGCAAACGCAATGTAGCACCAGGAGGATCAGCAGCAGCATCTGCACAGCATCTCGTTGCGAATTTTCCCCCACCCTCTTTTCCGCTGTCTCGATCACAGGACAATAAGTCAAAATGTCCATCAGAACAGATGGATTGATCTAAAAGTCAATTAGCATGAGTCAGTCCCCTAAGCAACTCTCTCGCTGGTAATTGACTTCGTGAACTCATTATGGTCTGTACAACACCACTGTACTGTAAGTACTACGACTGGTTGACGCCTTCCACTCTTCTTCAACCTTGCTTGGAATGAGGCGATATATTCAACTGCGTGTAGTCCAATCCGCACACTCACATCCCCACAGCTTGGTCAGAGACCACGTGCAGGAATTACCAAAATAGATTGCCCTGCTCCGTGCCCCCGGCAAATACACGTACGTGCTAACTGGAGTTCCGCCAAAGTTCGGCAACTTCAGCTTGGTTGAATATTGTTCAGCTCGTCATCGATCAAGCATGATGATGATGATGATGATTAGAAGGATTAATCTAAAGATGGCTAATCTTAAACATGCGTCCTCGGAACTGGCAAATTGCTGTTCCTTCAGACAAGAGAGTTTACTAAAGTAAGAAATACTAATACGCACTCTATGTGCGCATGAGTAACGAAGACAGGGAGAAAGCGTATTTGAGCTAATCTAGAACAGCTAGAATGCGTACAGGAGGGGAGTAAATCTGATAAATCTGGTACTATAATATCTGAAGAGTGGCTCTCATGGGCCCATTCAACAAAACATGGAGCATTTTTGCACCACATAAATTGGTGCTTTCGAGTGTTTAAGAACCTGCACATGGGTTGTTCGGAATCAACGAGCTTGTTTCGCTCCCCTAGAAAAAAACAAAAATTTATTGATAACTTTGTGTATCAATGTGCCACACGTAAACTAAATCTGCTAGTTGTTATTGTCATGGATCTGTATGCGATCAACAAAGATCTGTCATTAATCATTTGTGAAAGAGCATCTCGTAACTTGAGTGGGTCAATCATCAGAGCATTAGTGGTAGATCATGCCCAAACATGCCGAGTAATCTTCTCTCTAATCATGACTAGGTAATTATTGAGAAGGTATATATTTATCTCCTGACCTTGAAAGGCTTTCCCTCGTTCATCAATGCAGTGCAGTGGTCAAGATGAGCATAGCGATAGGCATTGAAATACGACGAGTTTGATATTTTGAGAACAGTGGTCTACTCACCCGGTCCTTCCATCTAGACGTATAATTCTGCATGAATCCTTTAGGTCATGACAATCAACACAGCGAGAATCGAAATGCTTATGACAGTCAATTAGTGCAAATAATGTGCCCTCCTTCACTCTCTATACTGAGAAACATCACTTAGTTAATCCATTAACTTACTGATATTTTGGCTATCATGAACTTTGGAGTGGCCAGTGGAGCAGCAGCAGGCCCTCGCTCCTGTTCTTTAAGTCTACGAGCATGATATCTTCCTACCTGACTGCAACATGATTCATGTTACGACGAACACTTTCCTATTACGTCATACATGTGGTCACCCTATAAGATCTACTTGACATGACATGCTTTGTGGCTGATCTAAAAAGCTGAAGCATCTACAGTACTGCAGCCGGGACAGAACCTCAGTTTGGAGATTCATCTACTGCAGTGCATCTCCGAACTCGAGGAGGAATACTTCTGGAATGAGCTGCTTCATCTACTGCAGTGTATCTCTCATCTCAAGGAAGAGGAAGATGAGAGGCACAGCTTCTCAAGAGAGGAAGATACTAAATCTTCTGGATTCATACAGTTCGAACCTTGACCTATGATTTCCTCTTATAGATGCACTCTAGACCCACACAGCTACAAGAGTGGGCTAACTATTCAAGATATACGGTATGTGCACATACCCCCAGTTTGGAAATCCCTGAACTGCATGCGTGTCCCACCACAGTTGCAACACACCAATGCAGCATGTCCAGATATCGAAAAGAAGAGGTGATCCCATTTTCCTGGACGACTGAAAAGCGCAAGGCTATGGGCGTTGAACCTGATCACATCATGATATGTATTCCAGTGCTGATTGTGATCTTGAATCCACTCCACGCAGAGAAAAGGTATAGGAATATATTATCGGACGTTTCAAACGGACTTGACACTGTGTTTCTTCAAACAAGTATTACAACCGTGTCATCATCACGTTCCATCTCACATATTGGATATAAAATATAAAAGGTCCCATGGCGTAGGAGCGTCCAACAGCGCACTAAAATTAATACTTCCATGTAAGGAACTTCACAGTAGCCTAGTGATGTACACAACTCATCATCTCATGCAGTGTATCAAAAGGAACCTAGAAAGTACAGCCGACTTTACATGATTAGATTACAGTAGTGATCAACCTAAGTAGAAATATAGAAGCACTTAATGTTTTTTAAATCTTAACACTTCTAATCCAAGTAAGCCTCCACATACCCAACCAGAAACAGAAGGAAAGCGTGGGCAATGTGGGAACCCCTCTTCCTAACCCTTTTTCTTTCCTCGTCCTCCTTGTTCGGTGGGAGAGGATGGTGCCTGCCAATTCACTGCTCAGCACACATGCATGCAAAACTCCAAAAATATCAAAGCTGGAATTAGAGAGAGAGAGAGAGAGAGAGAGATTGATTGATTTAGACTTGTGGTCAATCGGCGAGATTTTTCGTTTCAAGCTACTTGAAAATATCTACCACATAAGCTCTGAAAGTGCTCCTTATATCTCGTGGAATAAAAACTATCTGAACGGATATGAAAGGTATGACTAGACCCTACTCATAATAATAACATAAGGGGATTCCCTTTCTCGAAAGTGGACCACATCTTTTAGTATCTACACACAAGAGGACAAGAGATCAATCACTCGTATGTAGACAGACACGCTTTACAATACCTACCAGTACGTAAAATGTTCAGAAAGTAACGTGTTGATGTACATAATATAGGCTTTTTCTTTGCTCTTTCTTTTTCAAGGAATTCTCCGTACCATGATTGCTTTTAACATGTACAGATGGAATTGAGGCTGATCGAATCATTTGGTAAGCCCAAGATGTACACCTCCACTCCTCTCTCTCTCTCTTTCTCTGCCCTCTTCTCTCTAAGTCGCTGGTTTCGAGATGCGAGGATATTAACGATCGGAGTAATATTTGTGATATTGACAAATAAACCCATGCCCTCGAAGGACCACACACACATACAAACAATAGCAACCTCTTACATGAGAAGCCAACTTTCTCCGTTAGCTTAGACAAAAGATGGAATTAATTCGTTTCCTTTGTGGACATGCAATTCATCTTTCTGCTACATGAGAGCTTTGACTCGAATTCCATTCACAGCATTTTTAAACCTTCAAAATAACGACAGAATATCTTGTCCGGAGAAGACATTTTCAGTTGCAGGATTTTGGGAATCGGTTCATCGTGGCGTCCAGATTTCCACTGATGGACCTTTGCTACACGGTTCGTTACGACAACAAGACAAAAGCAACATTTTCTCAGGAGAACCAACACAACGAAAAAGACTGTTCTGTTAGCACGAAGTTTCCTAGAATTATGGTCTTTCCAGCTCCAGCTTATCTTCTTACAAAATTACAACACATAGAGATGGGTATGAGATGACCTCGTGAGAGAAAGCCATTAAAGTCACCACCATCGTGAAGAAAACTATCATGAGGTTTTGGCTCAAGTCATGACCGAAAGATTTAGTACTCCATCAGAATCAGCGGTTGGATGACGGAACACATGCGTCCTGCTGAAGTTGAACGAAATCTGTACGAAAGACATTTATGTGTTATTTGTTCGGCAGACATGGCAAGTTAGGTTCACATGACATATACGTCTCCACAAGCAACTCCGTTCACATTTTATCTCCACTCTCCGCTAGCTACTGATTCATGCCCCTCACTTCAAACTGAAACGAAACGATAAACCTTAAGAGGCCTTGCATCACGCAAGCAAGCAAGAGAGAGAGAGAGAGAGAGAGAGAGAGTCTTTCCACTATTTACAACTCGTTTCCTTGTGCATCTGGCAAGATGGGTCATGTATCACTACTGTTATGTAGAGTGGCACGAATAGGTCAATTTGGCAGAAGAAGCCTAGTAGACGATGACCCCGATCTCCATGTGGAGATGTGGAATGTGCACTGCACAAGTTCAGAAAACGAGGGAAGAAGAAACCTCCACAAACATCTTCCCCTACCTCGATTGTATCTTATTTAATTGTAGATCACTGCTGAAGGATTAGTTGCAATTAATCAAAGGAAGTCATCAACATGATGTGTCGATCACATCATCAGGTGGACCGTTCTGAACTGAATTTCTCTTACTCTAGTCTAGCATTAAAAACTTGCTATCTACAGCAAGTTTTGTTTGGCATCTAATTATAATCTTCTCATATCTTGCATCGCATGCCTACGAGTGAAGCACAGAGTAGGAAGCTGTATGGAAGATGGGATATTAGACTAAGCTTTATGCACTCGCAAAAGGTCCGACACGAACACATCAGGTCACTTACCCTGTACAGTGAGTGATCTCAAAGAAACCAATCAACAGTAGGAGTGGAAAGTACCATGTATTATAAGAGTTTGCATGCCACAGATAATGCTTTTTCCGTACGAAGTTGGCCGTGAGTTTGTTTAAAATATTGCGGGATCCTACTTCTTTGCTGACAAGTCCAGATATGTATGATAAGTTTTAAGTCCCTACATAGCAACACCTGCTGTTGAGGATTCTATGGAACAAAGAAGAGTTCAAACAAAAAAGAATGTCAAATTGTGATGACGTACTCGGCTTTTTACAGAACTCGATCCACAACCGTGGGAAAAGAATATAGCCGTACAAACGTGGTTTTGCTTTACATGTCTTTGACACTTTCAGTCGAAGAAGCCTATGCAACAAAGAGACATCGACGAACATATAAGTAGTCTCGACAGTAAAGACACCACTAAATATATACAACATCTGATCGACTGGTCTAGAGAGGGGGTGAGATATTGAACCAAAACGTACAATCCCTTCATATTGGAATTCTCATCTTCAAACGAGAAGACACGATCGTGAACCTTTGTACCCATGCTTTGTAGATGATCATAAGATTCTCCGTACCAACAGTGGATTTAGCAGTCAAAGGATGGGAAGAATTAATCACATACACCAGATTGACGACGACGAACAAACCCTCGCGCATGGGTCCTCGCCTTGGCTCTTCGACATTGTTGCATACACTGCCAAAAGAAAATCTCACAGTTTTAGACATAGCTAGCTGAAGAAAGCTTGGAATTCCAGGTTCGAACGTATGACTTTAGTTTTCAGGTTTTACGCAAGCATATCGGAAAAGATCAGTGCCAGTATCTAGAAATTTCATAAAATTGTTCTTTTAATAGATTAAATTTTCTTTGGAGTGTAGTCTCTCGATTTATTCCACTGGCTGCCCGAGATGAAGAAAACTGTATGACACAAAGTTAGTGACGAAATAACTCCCTCCTTACTACCTTCTACTAAACATTCTCATTTACTATACTTTATATAAAACATTTTTCAACTGAAAAAGTCCACCTCGACCTACTTCAGCACAACATGTAAGGTAGCAAAACGGTAGAGACAAAGTGGTTACAAACAAATTAGATATATCGAGGAAAAAGTCGTCGCATTGACAATAATACATGCGTAATCTAAACCAATCAGGGGAAATCGAACTTATGCGCTGAAATGAAACTTGAATGACGGGAGATCTAAAGCTAACAAATCACTCACTTTAACGGAACGAAGAAGCAACATGACGCACATTTAGGCTCGATCCATAAGCGATTCCTGATTAAGATATTGGCCAAAATCGGAGTACAAAAAACTGAACACTCTGGCGAAACCAAAGGCATGCAAGACGGTTGGATTACAAGGGGTCAGTTCCCAACTCGGGTCGGGTCTCCAGGTCGTCTTGACGTCAATGTGCTCGAAGTGACTCTCATACGGTAGAGTGGTGATGATGGGTTACGGTGACGGTCACAACCTCGTTGAGGAGAAAAGGACATGTAATGCAAAGACGAACCCGTACGTCCCGCGAGCTCGTATAATGTACGCGCAAGGGTGGCAGACAGAATCGTTGAGGGCAACTATGGGCAGAGCTTCTTTTCTTGCAGCCATGTCGATCAATATCATAAAAGACAGGCGTGCAAACGAACAATTGGCCCACAATATCTAACCACGACAAAACCAAAGCCCCCAGCACCTATATTATAAATCCATCACACCAGGAGCCAGTGCGCATAGCGTCTTATGCAAACTTACACTTCTGACGCTCGAGACGGGCGACACTTTCTGTACTGGGGTCGATGTGTGTGTGGGGCAATGGCTTGGGGGCCCGGCGCTGCCCATCACACTTGCGGTTCGTCCATATCCATGAACCTAGTGCCTGACGTACAGCCTCTAGTAGAGCAGGCTTCGATTAACGGTTCATTTATGGAGACTGGTCCAGGTCAAGATTCCGAAACTTTTTCCAGGATTTCTGAACCGCATATTCGGATGCCAAATCATCAAATCATGCCATGTCAATGCCTTCGTCGCGTCGAGGGTTTAGATTCTTGGTCCGGCGCTGTCACGCTTTCCAGGACCGGTGTCTCGCGGCTGCCTCCGAAATCCTTCTTATAGTCCGAGTCCGAGTTTGCGTTTCAACCGTCGAGAGATTCATTGAGAAAAGCCAGTTTCTTCCAACGTCCGGTTCGTCCACTTAACCCGTCGACTCGGTCAAAACCCCGCGAGCATGGTTTGAACGACGCTGAGATTCACGCTGACTCGTTCCTCAACCCTGGTCGCTCATATCTAGCGTTGCAGCAGCTTGCGCTTAAACTACGCTCCAGGTGGTCGACGGACGAACTTGCCCTGCGATGTGACTTGGCCGCTTGCTTGCTTGCAACTGCACGAACTTGGCTCAGATTGGAAGTGCTTTGGTTCCTCTAGAGACGGAAGCTAGACGGCAGCTTGCACAAGGAGTAGGGACCAACCATCGTTCGGCACTGGAAGAGTCCCTTGCTGGAAAAGTCAGTTGGTAGACCTCAAGACGGCTGCTCGAGAAGTAAGTGCTCATTCCATAAACGCACGAGAAAGAAGAGACCGTGACACAAAACCTCCACAATAATTGTAAGTCTAGACTTGTGTTGCCACTGGCTGTCAGCCTGACTATTAATTGCGAGAACTTGACAAGTAAACGCCGGGGTTTAGAGCCAACCTTAGGTACTCCGGGCGGAAAGACGGACTCATTGACTCTGAATACTCGATCCAAGCAACTGCCGTCGACCGAGTCCAAAGCGAGGAGCATGATTGTTGAGAACAACATGAGTCGCATGCGTAGGCTGGCTGAGGACTAAGAGGATACGAAGAAGTCATACTCATCTCTTGAATATCGAATGGAGTAAGCGCAATTGCATGAGCGTGGAGACGTTTGCTCAGTGGAGAAGTTTGCTCAGTGGAGAAGAACCTCAAGCATCGAGTGTGCCACCTTCTCATGCATATCTTTCAATCTCATGAGCTGAAGAGAAGCATCAAGACAAAGCATTCGTCAAGGTATCCACCTTGTTGCATACACGGCGCAAGACTTGTTTCCTTCCACAAAAAGGGAATTCTTTTTCTTTCTTTGATGTCATTTGATATTCAGGAACCACAATCTCCACAAGCTCTCACTCACGCCCTTAATCAACAATTGCAATGATCCACGTCTACTAGAGATCGACAAGTCTGCCCAAGTGTTGAGTGCTGAGACGCCACTCCCACTGAGGGCCTACAGCACTCGTATCCACCAGGGATCTGAAAACTAAAGTCAAGTACAGGCTGCCGCTCATCAGAAGAACAAAATGATTTCGAATGAAGAATGTGATTCATTCCTCCCAATCCCAGACCTCCTGTACCTTCAAGATTTGAACGGAGAGCGATTTGACTGCTAATCTAAGCTCTCCTCTCTCTCTCCCGTGAGACAAAACTTCAACCAAACGTCGAACATCTCGATGAGACCTCATCAGAAGCCCTCAGTTGGATGCTACAAGCGAGAATCTCCATCCAGAGTAGAAATGGCATATGTGGTTGATAAAGGACGTCTACTTAGCGAAAATGCCAATTTGCACATCACTATACTTCACGTCTCTTCATGCCGATTGCAGGGTACTGGCCAGGTATATAACAGATACCATCATGAATTTCGTCTCCTCTTCTACACACAAAAATTGGCCACTGCAACACTACTTCCATCAAAAAGTCGGACAGCTCCAACAAAATCCCTGCTGAGTTCTGTGAACCCTCGCGACCCAGACCTAGACCTAGACTACGGAATAAACAATGTAAGATCTTCTCGACACCATTGCGGATCTACTCTGCACAGAGGGATGGTAATGAACATTAGTCACGCTAGATGATCCGGCCTTGGTGGCCCTCGAGGTCAGCGAGCACTCTCCTTGAGAAATGTGAAACATATAGCTCTGCTCATCTGACCTCCGCAATGGTGGTGTGTTGACTACTAGGGGTTCGTCGAAAATGAGGAAAATATCGTGAGAAAGATGAGGATACAACTCCAGCAACCCAGGTTTCTGTCCATGTGGAAAAAAATGGATGAAAATAATGTACCAGAAGGCATGCGTTTCTCCAGGCCAGGCCAGCTACCCTATTATTTGCGACAAATTGGAAGGGTCTAGCCCTGTGATCCCAAATTCTATTCTTCGGCGTCATAATCTGCTACCACGTTAATGAGTGGTGTGGCGTAAACCCATAACGTCAGAGAAGCAATCAAAAAGCTTCAGGCGTCGTGCTTCATTGATGTCACTTACCCAGCTAGCTCTGTATCAAACTAGGGCGATGATGGGGCGTAGATACTCGTACAAATCTGAGGATTCTCCTCCGGTGCGTTGCTTCGTGTCAAAAGAGCTCAAAATCACCATCAGGCGATGACAAATGGGTTCAGGCCAGGCTGGTAAGCGTGCTGCAGAAATCCGTAGTACGTGTTGTATTTGCTTCTTTCGTCACCCAGAATGGGCTGGGTGAGCCAAACCTGACGGCATACATTGTATGCGACGACGGTGGTGTTCCCCAATGCGGAGAAAAAAATGCTCTCCTCATCATGGTAAAACTTCCCTGAGAGATACTCTTTTTCTATGTCCTCGGACGGGCCTCGGCAAATCTCTTTGAACTGCTGCGTGTCCAAATCCAGCTTCGAGATGCGGATGGAATTCTTGCGAATGGAGCCCATGCTCACCCTGTTGCCGTCGTACTCTATAACTGGGAGGAAAAACTCCTCGATGGCAACCATCAGCAGACTCGATCCGCAGACGCACAAGCTACTATTGGAGAAAGAATAAGGGTATCTAACAGGGAGAGAGACCTGCCTCCATTTCTCGCTCTCCACGTCGTACACGCCCAATTTCAGCACATTGTCCGACACCCTCTCGGCCCTGCTCAGCTCGCCGTGGCTCTGCTGGCAGTCCTGGTACAGCATGTAGATGCTTCCCTGGAAGTACTCGATACTTCTGCAGCACCATTTGGTGGGCAGCGAGGAGAAGGCCCGCTTGGGCGTCCACGACTCCAGCCACGAATCGTAGACGAACACCCGGATTGGGTAGCGGTCCGAGTCGGAGCTCACGCGCTCCGGATGCATTGTGTCCAATTCGAGCACGATGACGCGGTAGCCATAGAAGCCCACGGGGACCACCTTGACGCTGTACAGCTGAGACGGGCGCACCTTGACCACCGGAGGCAGCTTCTTGAGGCTCCGATTCATGGGATTGGTCATGTGGATGACGAGGTTGTTGGAGGCGTCGGCATCGACCTGGAGAAAGCACAGAAGCGAGCCGGCAACGCTCTGAAAGGATCGTCGGGTGTCATTGTGGGCGATGGGGCGGAACTTGAGGACGCAATCCTTGCGCACGTGGTCCGGGAGGTAGGAGAGCGAGAGCGCGTCTTGCCACTCCATCGCGCTGCGATCGAAGCCGCGCAGCTTGAGCGAGCTGTCGCTGTAGTGCAGAGGGCAGAGTGATCGCCAATTGGCCGAGTAGCGGCACACCTCGGCCTGGAACGAGAGCGACGAGACCTTGTGCGCCCAGCTGTGCGAGAGCAGGCACACCTGCATGACCTTCTTGAGGGGGAGCCGGGCGAAAATCTTCTCCAGAATCTCGTCCGGCATGCCGCTCCATAATTCCGACTCCAGGTCGCCGAACCCCAATGCCACCTTCTTCACCTCGTCCCTGTACTCCTCCCTGCCCGTGCCCGCGCGCTGATTCGCGTACGTTGCTGGTATGCTGGCCCACACATAGCGGCCTTGGTGAATAATCTGCTCAATGTAGCTGATGGAACTCATAAGCACTTTGCTACCACTACAGCAGCTAGCGTCGAGACAGTAGGACGAGAGAGGGAACAGCCACCCACCCACCACGGAAAATTGGCACACTCTGATGATCCACCACCGAGAGGAAGTGAAAATGGATAGGATTGCTGCCCACTGGACGAATCGGGGGAAAAAAATTCCAGTCAGGAAGAGGAGGAGAATGTTGAGTCGGGGCGGGGGAGCAATTTGAAGCAGGATAACGAGGAAGAAAAACGACCGGACTCCGCTGCTGTCTGCCTGCTCTGTGCTGCTCTTATTGTCGCTCGAGTGCTGAGTTCCCGCTTTTTGGCTATCTTCCTCCCCAGACACAGTGAGTTTGCCCCAGACCATGATATGGCGGTCGCGTTCGCTCACTCACTCACCCGCGCAATCACTCTTTCACTCGTCGTTAAGTCACTCACTGACACGATGAAACACTTACTTGCTCGTGCTGCTCTGCTCTGGCTCATGCTCTCGCACTTGGTCTGAGGGGGAGAAGCAGAAGAAGCAGGAGCAGAATGACCAGCTTATTAAGGAATCGGGATTCATTCAATTGCACTCCTGTTGTCTTGCTGCTGCGTCTGCCTGCTCCGGTCTTAGCTCACTCTTCAAAAGTGTCATACCTTTCCAACACCTTCCTCCTCCGTCTCCTTCAAGACAAACCACGGCACAACCGCTTGATGTGGCCCCCTGTTGTTCTTGTTGCTGTTGTTGTGTGTAGAGAGTTAGCCCAAGCTCAAGGCCTCTTCTACCGTGCAGAACAATCCAAGAGAGAAACTCAAGATGGCCCCAGCAGCCCCACCTCCACAGGCCCCGTCGACCTGATCACTGCTCCTGCTGCTGCTGCTGGCCCTGTAGCTCAACAAGCCAAAACCAAAACCAAAGCCAACACCAAAGCCAAACCCACCGAGCCCGAGCCCGAGCCCGGCCCGGCAGCAGACCACAATTGCAGTCGCAACAAACCCAACTCCCCTCCCCTTCCCGTCCCTCCTCCACTGCGCGTTGGGCCGGGACTCTCACGCTGTCCGAAAGTGTCCTCTTCAAGCTCCATCTGAGCACAGGCACTCCAGTCAGTCAGTCAGTCATCAGTCGGTCGGTCAATCAATCAGTCAGTACCATCCATATCATTCTCTTCTATTACATACCCTCTGCCCTCTCCCCCTCCCTCTTACTCTAGCTCTACCCTCTCTCTCTCTCTCTCTCTCTCCCCTTCCCTTCCCTTCCTGCCTCCCTCTTGCTTACGTCCGGCTCACTACTCTCTGCTCAGCGCCAACCCACACCAGCTACTCTGGAAGACTGACCACATCAAGACCAGGCGGAAACTCAGAGCCTCCACTCTTCCCTCTCCAGTCCACGAAATCCAATCTCCCTCGGACTTTCTTTCCCTGCTTCTGCGGGTGGCTTGAGGCAGAGAGGGAGGGAGAGAGGGGAGGAGGAGGACTGGAGGATGAGGAGAAGGGGCTTCTGTATGGGCAACAAACCAGCCAGCCAAACAGACAAACATGCATCATGGTCTTCTGCTCTAGCTAACCTTGGAATGCCATTCTTCTCCCCTTTCTTAGTTCGACTTCGCCACGGCAATGCGGACAGTGCCCGACCAAGACTTGGGCTCGATCGTTGTCAACCAGGAGTCGTGAACAGACCTCGAACCAACCCAGAGTGGTCGATCCACGGATCCATCATCTTCAGGATGATTCCCGGCCATCACAGGTCCCACAGAGTGCTTCAGGTCGTCAGAGGAGGCGACTACTTATGCGTGGTGGTAACAAAAACTTCAAACCCAGGCTCAGTGCAATAGCTGGCTGGAATAGAAAGGCCGGATCCTGGGCTGATGATTGGTGCAGGCAGCGCCATGTTTAAACTCCAGCCAACAGGTGTCAAACCAGTTCGATCTTCTGAACTTCTCAACCGAATTTAACCAGAGTAGAACCTGCCAAAGTAAAGGAGGTAACTGCCCATCTGTTTAATCCCATTAGTCCTGCGGTGCAGCGCCAGTAACTAACGACATCCATTTCGCCCTCAAATCCAGTACTGTAATTAAACCCGGTCCTTCCAATCACGTCCTGCAATTTCGTTAAGGCGAAATGTGTTCCGATTTTCATGTCAGAGACGAAGCCAATGAGCCCCGAAGGTTTCGCTTTCCGTTCAGGTTGTCTTTTACGTTCTGTACTCTTCTTGTCTAGCAGATCGCTTCTCACTTGTCAACCATCGATCACATCCAAAATATTACTATGTGCCTCTTGTTGTCAAATATAGTAAAACAACAAAGTGTGACTCGTTAATCACGAGTCATTAGGAAAATCTCAAAGCAGCCAAAAAAAGTACATGGGTTACACTCTAGAATTAACCATTCATCCGTGTATCTAATTCTTCGATCACTAAATCTATTAGATTTTAAATAATTTATCGTAAGTATTGCTACAAAAATTTATTAGCTAGTATTCTCAGCATCATCATGATATTTTTTTAAAAATCACAAAATATGTACTGTACAATACGAAAAGGTATGATTTATACTTACTAAACTTAGTAGTCATCGATTCTGTAAGACGTATAAAAGTTCACCCCCGAGTGAAATATCTTTGTTCCAGAACCAACTGCTATTAATGCTGTGTTGACACCGTCTAATATTGTATTCACACCATTTAACATTTTGTGTTCACTGAACGGTGTTCACAAAATGTTAAACGGTGTGAATATAATGTTAATAGCTCAAAATGTTAAACTGTGTTTACAAAATATTAAAGGGTGTGAAACTAAAGTTGCAACGATTTACATGTAGAGTTGAAAAGTAAGTTACTCTCCACCCATGTCGGCAAGAGCATCGGCCTTATGGCATTCTACGGATGTATCCAACTGAATAGACATATGACAGTAGTGAACAGATTAGCTCCACTTCTTGTACGCATGATATAGTAGTGCGCCCCGATGTGAGCATAAGTGACGAACTTTGTACTCGAGTTCACTTTTGGCCTCCAACTTTGATCTGAAGGAAATGCGAAAAAAATTATAGTTAGTTTGCAAAACCTGATCTACTATCTATCACACTGCTCATGTCCTCCTCCTCACTTTGCCTAGATTGGAGCAACCAGAGATTTAGGCAACAGGACGACGAGACAGATCTTATTTAGAGTGGATATGTTTGATAAGTGGTGCTATTACACAGACCTTTTCAGAACCGAAATCTATCTTACGTCCTTGTGACGATGCGAAGCTTATCGGTTCAATGTAACCACTCAAATCGTCCTTGAATCAGAATAGGAGGGAGGATTAAGAAACACATAGCACTTTTTCAACGATGAGAAGCGCATGACATGCCTCTTTTGAACCGAAGTCTTCAGAAGCCAGTCATACCACCAATAAATTCTACAATCATGATCTAGAGCAAATTTTAACGAGTATGCTGTTTTATGTTCCTCCCATCCTCCTCGTGTACATGAGCGGAGAATCCCTTCATTCTTACATTTAGTGAACGGTGTGCAGTAGGTCCAAAGGCAAGTCATGTCTTCGGAGGAGAAGAACTTCCGGCATGTGAGAGTCGAAGGCAGTCTAGTACTCGCAGGCCGAGTAGAAGACAAAGGTTTAGTATTATTTTAGCGTAAGAACCATGTTTTTCCTTCTCACACCACTACATCCGCCACTTTTTCCTTGACTTCTAGCTGGAGAGACTCTGCATATTCTGTCATAAAAGCATGTTCTGTTGTCACTCATCTTATCCATAGCTCACGGGGGAAAAAACATTACGTTCGATTCACTCCTCCCGACCCCAATCAACCCACACTTTCAGTACCTTTTTTCCTACCAATCCTTTCCTCATCCTATCCATCCACATGGTGCATTAGTATTATGGCTCCACCGCGGGTTCAGGAGTACTTCAATCCATTAATCTTTCATTCCCTCCTTCCTTCCTTCCGCACAGAGGCGATGGAACAGGATCCCATGGTCCTTCAACTCGTAGATTTCCTTCCCGAGAATAAAATTCGTAGGATGTCCTGCGCCATGTCCTTCGACTCAATAATATATTCTGAAACAGTAGTCTCCCAGGAGGAGTTTCGAAGAAATTCCGTTATGATCTTCAAGAACTAACGCTGTGCTTCGGTACCAAACTTTTTGTTGAGGTCGTTAAGTCTTCCAGAGACCGAGCCCTTTCAAGGCTCGGGGTCGTTTGTTGTTTGTTGTTCAATTTTCCTTGCTTCGACCATGGTTTACTCAAGCTTGCTGGAGCATGTCTTTCGTCTACGCCAAACAGTTCGTTTGATCTTTTCACCTCGATTACTCTACCGACCGGATCTGCTGAACTGGCTTGTTTTTTCCCCTTGGACTTGATTCATTTATTGAGTTTCTTCCTCCCTCTCTCTCCTTCGCCGAGCCAAACGCAGCTTCCTTTCCTTTACTCCATCTGGTATCCAAAGGCACCCTGGCCTTCTGCCGAGGGTCGTGGGATTCTTGAACAAACTTACGGTTCCCTCCAACTTTCAATCGTCTCGAGCAAGGCACATACACGAGGGAGAAATATCCAGAGGTATCAAGCTTGCACCACATCGACCGAATCGAGACCATACCTCTTCTTATTACCTGAAGAATATAATCTTCCCGTCATTTCTGCAGCAGATCTTGGTCTTTCTAGAATACGAAAAGCGACCCTCATCCTCTTCTTCATCCATCCATCCGTAAGGTGCACGAGGAATATGTAAAGCTAATAAGTAGGATAATCCGAGTAATTTTCTGAGGCACACATCACCACAATCGTCAACTTCACCATTCTCTAAATCTACTTCAAAGCTTTAGCATTGAATCACCTCACCACGCTTTTTACAACGTCACCTAAGAATAATCCACCATTTATCAGTGCAGATTCCGGTCGGTCGCGCATAGGAGCATAGTCACCTTGCGTATCTTCTTCAAAAGTTTGTTACAGATATAGAATCATTTCAACTCCGAAATCCGAACCCCACTCCAAATTCTTTCACGCGGCTTGTGAGCACTTCTGCAAAACTTGAACTACACATCTCCATCATTGAACTGATATTACTAAATCTTGCCTTCTAAAATTTGTATTATTGAGAATGCATCAAAAGAAAATGCGAACTTGACTTTCACAATCGATCCTCCTTGTCAATTTCTCATCTCTTTCCTTCATAACAAAAATCGATTTTGCTGAAATTAGTTGTACCTTAGTATATATCTTGCTTCCAAGACCTTCTAGAATCTTGGGCCAACCGGAAGAAACCCTATATGTTTCCATATCATATATTTTGTAACATAGGAAAGGCTTCAAGACTTTGGCTTTGGCGGCTTGAGCGTCCACACCAGCATTCATATCGCGTTTCCATGTTGTCAACCTTCAAGGTGTCACCTTGCATGTGTATCTATGATGACTATCATTTTCACTCCGGATCGATTCAAGCCTCACGATTAGATTGCAAAGCACTGCGTTATGTGATGCAACACGGTGATCGTCATGCAAAGCCACAAGATAACCATATCTTACAGAGTGAGAGGGTTATGTACATATGTTGCCTATCACTTCACTTCATTTCATTAAAGCCTCACGATTACGTATCTGCATTACGATAATGCAACACGGTGAGCGTCATGCACATACACAAAAATTGGCATATCCATCAGAGTGAGAGTTATATCTAGCACCCAGACAACTAGAAAGAATATGAGATGTCATGTTTCATTCCCCGGATTCTGGTGACATCCCCAAAGTTAATAGCCTCCAGCATTTATCACATGCTCGACCATGAACGTCCTTCACGATATATTTCCATCACCTCCATATAGATTGGCACTTACACCACCATGAAAGAAAATGGCTTCAATGAGGTCGTAGCTGTTTTCACCCATTCTCACTTCGGTCAACATTTCCCAATTTTAAGGCTTTACCCATCTAACAAGCTTAATATCAACGTGCACCACACAACCCAACGAATATGAACTGTTCCGACGGAGACTACCATCACATATCGAAAACACCGTGACATTGTAAGACCGTTTACTTTTACTTGCACTTCATTGCATGACACACACACACACACAAGGCAAATGTATACACCCTCCAGTTGGTCGATGTGGCCTAGTGGGAGGGGCTTTGACTCGCGCATGCATTTCGATCTGTCTTTGTTCCGCCGCAGATGTCTCAATTTGGACTAGCTATTTCATTATTGCACGGTGAATTCCGGAGCTGTATCTGAGTTAACTCTTTGGCTGCAATCCCAATCTATCACTGTACGAGAGTATAAGCATGTCAGTATCTCAGTCTAGTCAACTCCACCTCGAGCTAGAAGTTTGCAGCATGACAAGGAGATCAGAGCAGTTTCGGAAAGATGTACGTGTCACTCGACTGTGTCATTGTACTGCGCTATTGTCAAGCACACACATTTCCAAATAAGGGCCATGGTTGGAATCCCAGTCTTAATACATATTCCACCATGAAGATGTAATGCTATTCAGAACAGTCCTTGCTCAGGGAGAAAGGTAAACAAGCTGACCTCGGCTGCAATCCCCATCCACTCTCTAGCAATTCAAACGATGTCATGCTGGACATTGTCATTATCTTGAAGTAGATCAACCCACCCTGGGATTTTTGCGTATCCAATTAATTATGTTCATTTGTTAGCTGTTCCAATGACTTTGGTTCTCTTCACATTTCACCATGCACTTTCAAGAGCAACAAGAGATTCCTGTCATCTTCGTCGAATTATGACATGCACAAATCATGATGAAAAGTGAAACTTCAGCCGGGGGTCCGAATCCTCATAGAAACGACGTCTTTGGAGATCAATTCAGCCGGCATATGGATGGAAGAGCCTCAAGAGAGTCAACTCGTCCCTAGGGATCGGCTTTTGACTACACCTATTTTCAGTTGGAGCACATACGGCAATCACACGGCAAAAGTAGCAGGCCAATGACGAAGAAATAGCTTCCCAGGGAACAGCAAGAGCGAGATGTCTACGCAAACACGGACATCAGTCTTGGTGCCCTAATAAACTCCTGTTGTTTGAACACGCCGTCACATGCCAACCAGTTTCGACTTTAACTTGCAGAAACCGTTCTTCACTTACGCACGGAATCGACTACAAGTGCCCGAAAAAGCTTCCGACTGCTGCAGAAACGGGAGAACTCGTCAACTTGGCGGCACATTCTCGAAGAAAAATGCGGCAGCGACTTTGCAGCTGCTGCTGCTGGCGATGCCGAGGGTGCTTGCATCCCGCAGACCACCCCACCCCGAGCTCCCCTCGCAAGCTTTACGGCGCCGGTCTAGGGCCGCAGTTGGCCCGCGCAGCCACTTGCGCTCACTCTCTTCTCGCCCCGCTTCAAGGCTGCAAGGCGCGGAGGGAGCGTTCGAATTACGACGAAATAGGCTGTGCGAGATCGTCCGACCTCGCGTGAGGAGGCGCCCTCCGCCACGTGGCTGGGGAATCCAGCTGGCCATGTCTTATTGCTCCGAAAGCGGGACACGGCCCGGAGCCTGGGAGCTTTTCTACGACTCGCCCGGTCGACGTCGCGCGAGGATGAGAGCGTGTAGTGCATCGGACGGACAGGCGGGCGCAGATGCAGTCGCTCGAAGTGGATCAGGCTTGGCAGTTCCATCGTGTCAGAGTTCGTGACGTACCGGGCGTCGTATTGCCATGACTTCCCTTCAAGAAGTGCTCCATCGCCATCGCGACTCCCTCGCAGGTTTGCATCTCCGAGCCAGCTGTCGCGCTCTCATTCACGCAGAAGCGAATCCCCCCATACTCCATTCCGACTGCGAGCGACGTCTCCCGAAGACCGCCTCGCCTCCAGCGCAGAGAAGAACAACTCCGGACAAGGAGTCCCTCTCGCGCGGTCCCCTCGCGACGCGTGTCCGGCCCTGAGTCGCTGCCAGAGGATGTTTTAATATTGGTCCGATTTGTGGGTCGCGACTTCGGTTTGGCGTCGTGGCGCGCGGGACCACCACAGTCTCCCCCGCTGCGACGACGCAGGCTCGGCCGAGGCTCGGCAGCGCGATCGAAGGGGTGGAGGGCCTGCGAAGCATCCATCTGCATATGGGTCGTCGCAAGCGATTCCAAATGCCATCTGTTGCCCATGCAGTCTTCTTTGGTCTGGCATCTGAGTACGACAACATTCGGACATCTCAACCGTCCCTGACTTGGCTAGGCCTGCCGGTTGGTCCTTTTATGCGGGGAAAGAGACCTTTTAATTATTCTTTCAACTGTATTATAAAATTCCATTATTTCTCTACAGTCATTCAACTCACGGACTGAAGCATGGACCGTATGCGTATACTGTACCGGATGCCTGTAGCTGACTTTATGATGCCGATTTACGTAACGTGTTTAGCCGGTTTGATCGTTGTACTCGCAGAGTGCAAGATTGTCACTTGATGATCGATTGAAAGTACGATATTATCAGTTCTTCGCATTACGTACTCTTCTCCTCAAATCTTCGCATTGGGACAGGTTGAGGAGTTTTAGACATTTTCATCTCTGAAGACATCTGATGGGTAACCGGTTCAGCAAGCAATTGAGAACAGCACCAAAAGCTAACGTCTTTAGATTATCGTCATACTTATATCACTCATATACTTACAGAGTAATGTTCATTTTTCTGAAAGCCACTTCTAAGCGTAATTTCAGTTCAGTTCTATTCTCTTCTACTGAAAATATAAGATAGCTTCAAAGCAGCGTTCCAACTTCGTCTTCACGCTTGTTGGAGATGCTGCATAATATCATCTTAAAATATGAAAAAAAAATCGATAAATGATGGCATAGAAATAACATAACTTGAAAAGAATTGGAAAGAAGTGTCTCCAATGTACATAATATTTAATATAATATATTTTTATGTATAAAACAACAGATAACATGAGGGCGCGACAGTGGTGGGGGGCCCAACGAAACAGAGCTGGCGCTACTGTCATGTGGAGAGGTTGACTCCACAACTCCAAATATACCCTGAGTATATCTCGAGCGGAAAAGATGAGAAGGGATGAACTGAATGTTGATGTCTGATATATATACGTGTGTATATATATATATATATATATACCATTTACCATTTTTATATCGAAGGAAAATTTCAGGACTTGTATCTATCGATCATTGGTCAGAATACAATACATGTAATACCATCAAGAATACTCGAATTCTGATCGAGAGCTTGGATGATACTGAAAAGCGAATTAAGTATCACCCTGTACTCGAGTGAAGAAGCTGAAACCCTGATGATGCAGATGTCATCGAGTAGAGCATTGTCCAAAAAGTTGGACAAATTAGAGAGCGTAAATAGAGAAAGGGAATCATTGGAAGAACCCTGCCAAAACTGAGTTGCACATGGATACCGTAGATTTCTCCCAAACGGAACGAAGATATCTTCATCTCCAAACAACATGCTAAATTCTGTTACAGTAGAAGCATGAAATATGACAATATGTAAAAAATTGCAGGCACGGAAATTCTGAGCTCTTCCAACTTGCAACCACACATTATTCAAACCTACGAACGCTAAGTATAAAATAGTACCACTTGTCTTCCAAATATACTCCCCCAACAATCTCCTATAAAATCCCTAGATTTCTTCAGCCATATCCTCCAAAGAAATCACTACAATGACCCCAATACCACTATCAACCCAAGTACTTTATTATGTCCCTCTATCCACTCAGCTTTAAACACACTCAAAACTACCAATTTTCAACCACGTGCTGAAATTCATCAAAACAGTGCCCAAAAATATAGAAGAAATGAGTATTATACTGTAATCTCCAGCACAGTAGGTGAAGCAAACCTTCAGCAAGGAAGACTGATTGGTCAAAAATTTAGGCACGGTCAATGGTTAAGACGTTGGATCTATGAATCTGTAGTCAACCAAAACACAGACATAACGTGTGGGAAGACTTCTTTCATTCGGAAATAAATCCTCTTTTACTGATAAAATAGTGAGCTTATCGGACGACTTGAGATGTCATCGACGGTGCGAGTCGAGTACGCATGATTGGGCTCCGAGGGGACTGATTGTCTGTGCTGCTGCCGATCCTCCTCCATCCAGTACGAACTGCGTAGAGCGAAGTCCGGGAAGGCAAAGAAAGTCAACAAGAAAAGATGAAAGTGAGGATTCATGATTGTGGTTACAGTGTCTAACGAACAGTCCGTCCGATTGGCAATCATCCACCGATCCCCACTCCCCATCGGGAACCTGGTAGCTCACTTCAATCTTTGCGGGTTGAAGTTCCATTCCGGTGAAGATTCGCCGCACCAGAAGACGATGAGTACTGATGCAAGGGACGGGGCAGATGGAGCAAGGCAAATGAGTAAGTGGGTCCGCCGGCGGCCAACTTGCCCGACGACATTTCTGGCGATACGGTCTTTGAGGAACTTCCCCTCTCTTCGCTACGCGTCATTTGCGATCGTCCGTCGTCAACGGTGACCACGTCTAGCTTTGCGATTTTAGGCCACCTTTCTTTACTCCACAGCCGGTTATACTGAAGATGTCATCGTCTGAACACAGTACACCCGCTCGTGTATGGCATTACTCTCTCGTACCCAGCTGCCTGGACTTGAAAACGTTGTGTATAGTGTTAGATTCATGTAGTTAATATTTGCAAAAATTAACTGAATAAATTCGACGGTCTGATAAAGTATTAGTTGAATTGTTCAGACCTGTTATTTTTAATTTTAATTGTTGTTCCTCACTCAAACACATTGGCAGAATGTCCAGCTACTTGACCATACGGCAGAAGGTACTTGGATAACTATAAGATAATATTATCAAACGAAAGTTGTCAAGACTATGATTGGAGTGATCTGTTTAGACTTCTATCTTCAATCAAAGTGTACTACTTCTCTCCCTTCTAAACAACCAACTTCTTTACCCAACATTTATAAGTCCAGTATCTTCTAAAGTAGCTTCATGATATTGGAACACATAATTAAAAGCAATATGAAAACAACTCACGGCACTACAAAGCATAGGCCAACCAGCGTAATAAGAAGAGATTAAACACTATGAGATTCTCTCTCCAACTAACATTCTGCTCATGCATGCACCGATGAGTAAATGATGTATCCGAGAACTCAAAACAATCATTACTTAACAATAATAACTCTATACCTCCATATCTCTTATATAAGGCATTTATTAAGTAAAGGAAAAATCCAATATGTAAGAAAGTTTTATCACAACCATCACGTTAAAATGCATCACATTCTTCAACGATTATATCTATCTCCCCATGCGAATTTACTATCTCTAATGTTAGTGATTTAAGAGTATGTCATTCTTGTGGTCGTTCCGAATATTGGATATTAAATGTAGCGCTAATCCCCACATCATCTTCTGGTCAATGATTTAGAGAATCAATGGCAAGGATGTCTTGCTTGAAATGAGTTCTCATCATATCCGCAACAATCTTGAGGCATGAAGTTATCATTTCATGTGATCTTTTCAAATGTCAAGAAGTATAGTTGATCTTTACATATAACATGTGTATCCTTCTAATTGGAGTATAATCTTCTCAAATCTTGTAGTTATTTGTTATTTTTAGAAAACATACTATCTATAGTTTAAGTTTATTTTAACCTTAAATTATTTCCATAATTTTGCGTTGAGTCTTTGACTGCATCGAGGAAACAAAAGGTTAATCCATTTTTAAACAAGAGAATGTTCTCAATTTAAATTTAAACTAAGGGCCAAGCCACACTACCGGTGAACCCTCGCCCCTCATTGACAGGCTAGCGGCCCCTTTACCACACAGGAGGGCAAATGAAATCGTAGATGATTTAGTTTATCGAATCCACATGTATTTTCACGCCTTCCCACATTACTCCTGCATGAACTCCTTACCACTTCATCGCAATTTCAATAAAGAACTTTCTCTGCACACCATGAATTCATATGGACCTCTCGGTTTTTCTCTGGAAAAGATTCTTGCAAAGAAATAATGTGATGCATTTCGCGTTAAAATGAAATTGTTCACCTTGCTGCTGCCTTTCACTCTGAATGCACCTGCCGGCTGTGTGGTAGAGGTTAATGAATTAACTCCAATTGGCGGAGTGAAATCTATGAAAACCAATTTATCTTCTAGCGAGAAGCTTAGTGCGGGATGCCGGTCATGTGGCAACGGCCTTAATCATTCAAAGATTTCATTGCATGATGAAGTCTGTAACTTATGATAGATGACAACAAAGGAGTGATTTAATATCTCAGAAAAAAAAAGTTTCATTTTTCTATTAGAATATTCTATACTAATGTCCTAAAATAAAGAATTGGAGTATTCAAAACATTACTTTTGATACATGTGGAATGAATTCTTCATTTTTCTTGTCATTGATTTGGAGTTCATGTAACATATATTGTTTCATTTAAAAATCAGCAAGATTTGTTATATTACATGTGATTGTGATAGTTTGACATTAATAATCATGTGTATAATGTAACTTGACATAGGCTACATTTGTGATTTTATGTACAATTAGATGTTTGCTATAATAACCTCATATAGATTACAGTCATGATTAAGTACAACTATATGTTAGCCACAATACTGTCATATGATAACTAGATTGGTTAATGAATTTCTATGTTTTAGTATTTATTACATACACTTGATACATTTGCAACTATTCTTCATTCATTAAATGACTGTGAAGAATACCATTCATTGAGTTTTGTATGTGGAATATATCTTTTACATCATGCTAATTCTAAGGTACATATCGATTACAATGAACTACATAAATTTATTGCTTGTTTGATACAAAATAATATCATGCGTTTTATATATGACATCATACTAGATTCATTATTTTTTTTCACTTAATCAATGATATGATATCATGCATATATGCAGACATATATTATGTGAATGAAGTAAAATTTTCAGATAATTTATGTATGTAAAACCTGTTTTTTTTTCAAGTAAATATTTTAAGGATAAAAATCTATTTTAATAACTAAATAAATTTTTCGACCAAAATATAAAAATAAAACATGAGAAATATACATAAGATGAAACATAATAATTATTATCATCAGTAAAAATACAAACCCAATCAATTTATACATGTTTCAAGATGTTGATAGGAAAAAATATATTTTAAAAGATTATAAATGTCAAATTCAACCAATCACCTTAAGTTTTAAGGTAAAAAATGTAAGTAGCTTCTTAGAAATAAATGTAATATCAGCTATATTCATAATCATTTCAATTTATATAGAAATTGTTATTATTTATTATATATATATATATATATATTATGGGAAAATAAACATAATTTGAGATTCCATAGATATAAATTATTTTGTTCTTCATTTAATGAAATGTGTATCAATTTATCATAAAATACACAATGTTTTTGTCAAAATCAAATTTGACATACAATGATTCAACAACTTTATTTGTAATGATTTAAATCAATCTGATCAAACATAGATTTTATTTATATTATTTTCGATACAAGAATAAAGTACATAAGATGAATCATTATTATTCGTCTAGGAGATTCACCATAGAAATATCCAATTCTTTTTTTAAATTAAAAAATTTCTCAATACATGAAGATAAGATAATATAAAATTTTGTTGTAAAAATAAATTATACTCAGATGAATTCAGATAAAATTCATTATTTTTTTAGGGGCGTATCCTTCATTCATCTCATGTATTTATGCACAGATTGTGACTCATAAAATTTCAACGCATAAAAAATTAGTTCTGACGTGTGAAAACTATTTTCGCATGTCTGGGTTATCGGTTGTGCGCTGAAAAACTCCATAAACGGATCATATACGATAGCAGGAAGTGTGGGTTTGATCGCAGAAATATGAACTTGAGGCTGCTCGAGTAAGACGATATTCATCGAGATTGTTTTCGTTGATCGCTGATCGAATACTACTCTACAAGAACGAATTTCGTTTCCTTCGAAAGCTTGCTGTAGAGGTGGAGGGAGTGACGGTTAGGCGGGCCATGGATGGTGCACGAGCTAACGGAGCATCCGGCATGGAGAAGGCAGCAGTGTTCCTTTCGTCAACATTCCGCTGCCAAGGACACGGACTCCGGCGAAGAAGGTGTTGAAGAAGTCTGCAAAGGATTCAGACTTTGTCCCCGACGATGTCCGAGCGTCCCGAGCGCCTCTTGCTTGCATGAACTCTGGAGGCGCCTCTCATTCCCTCATCCACCAGCTTCAAACCGCCAACGGCTTCCCGGTCAGCGTCCGCGGCTGACCTTCAACTTTCTTTCCCATCTAAGTGGCAGTCGGCTGCTTCAGAGCCGACGGCCTCGGCCACATCTCTTTGCATTTGTCGCGAGAGTTGTACATTTGACGCTGTGGTCATCTGTTCCGGCGCTTTCTCGAGTCGCAGGTTGGGGTCCAACAGTGTCACACTGTGGCGTCCAACTCTCTCGCTCCGATGATTTGAGTGCATTTCTCCGTGGAAGTGAGAACCATTCAAAAAGAGAGTCGTGAAGCGGAATGACTAAAACTCCACCACTTCCACACGTGACCTGGAATTTCTTTTTGAGGGTTTTCGCTGAGAGAGTCAAGTGCCCAGAAGCAGTTGTTTCGGGCCACCAGTCCGAAGTTTCCATCAAGCAATCTTGCATGCCTTGATCAGCTAGGTCGAGGATGACAAACTGCTGTTTACAACTACTGTTCTTGGCTCCACTCGGTTTCTCTCTTAGAACTGTCAAATCTCATTCTTGACGTTTTGCCACGCTTACGTAAACCAGACGATGGAGTGTCCCATCTCTAATCACCGCATGTCATGAAAACTTATAAGCAGTCCACCCGCATGATATTCACATATCTGAAGACATTTGCCCTTCGATATCGTTGTTATGGGATAAGAATTAAGCCATATGAGAGCATTTGGCAGTGCAGGACTTAAAAATCAAAAAATGGTTCACAACCCACACAATCATATTTCCAAACCTCTCTCTGATACTGAGATCCAACTTTCAGCGTATAATGGCCAGAGGCAACTGGCAGCTACCAACGCAGTTTCCTTTCGGATACTCGCTTTTCTGCGAAACCTAACGTGAGCTAGGTAATCGATGTAAATGCACCCGAACAATAGTTTTGGTTGGACTCCAACAACCTGCATCACCTCTGTCGTAACACTAAGCCTTGAGGAGAAACAAGGTGGGAGTAGAAGTCCAGACAGTTGCCTCCTCTAAATATCGAGCTTTGTTCGGGAGCTCCTTCAATTCGTTTATTCTGTCGTGGCGATTAAACGCAGGGAGAAATGAGACGGGCAACCCAGATGTGCACAGAGCACGATGAACCCATCACTCCAAACTGCGCTGTCAGTGTACCACATTTACAATGGGCAGATTCAGATTCAGATTCAGCATCAGCATCATACCCAGCCCGGCCGCTTTCACGTGCGGTAGTTACGATGAAGCCTCGTGTAACTCCAGAAATATACGAGAAAATACTGTTCAGGGGACTTGACCGCGGCCAAGGGTAGGAAGCATACATTTGGCCTGGTCCCCGGGCTGTTGCTGTACTGGCAGTGGCTACGTCAACTTACTTGGCAGGGTTAGACGGCAAAAAGCCGCTAGATCCTTTGGCAATGCCTGCTGTGATCCAAGATTCCAGAGTTTAGTGGGGGGCCACGGGGGCTACGGGAGTCTCCTTAGATCCCTTGCACTTGTGGGGTCCTGGTCTCTGCTTTGCCTCCACCTCTTGGACTTGATGAGATAGACACGAGACGGAAAGAAGTGGGGGAAGTTCTTGTATCGAAAGCCTTTTGGCGAGGCTCGTTTCCATGCTTAGGGTTTGTCCCTTAAACCCTAGAACAGGGTTCTGGGTTTGGTCAGAGCTTGGCAACAACGCTGCGGAGCTCTTTCCCCTGTTTGCCGTCTCAGAAGTCTTCGCTCTGTGTCCACGGAGGAGATCGAGACGTTCTGAGGCAGCATCATCATTTCCACTGCGAGGTGTAGGTTGAGTGATGTCTGAGATCAACGCCCCAATGCACTCCATTGAGCACTGCGAGGCTTACGTCGTGAAATACGACATTTTGTGAAGTGCATGTCTGTCATCAGACATGAGAAATGCCTTCGAGTATGCAAATTCAGTCTCTCAATGGATGGACTTAGTAATTTAAAACCAGGAACGAAGAGAGAAGACAGATTGACAAGCTCCTGTTGCGGTTGGTCCGTTGTAGACCTGAAGAATGTTGACAGGTCTTTTATAACAATTTGAAACTGGTTGAGGGGATTCCAAGGCTCAGGAAATTCGGCTGTTGATGCTTCTTGTTGTCCATATGTTTTGAACGCACTACCGGATCCAGCCAGCAAAGGACAGTGATGCTGTCATAGTCGCTCCGTCAGATCACATCTGAATTTCTATGTCGCACACAAGACCATCAATACTACAGGTAGGCGACATGTCAAATTATCAACTTCTGCTGACGATTTAGTCTGCGATTGATTTTGTTTACCGTTAAACTACTTGCATTTTGCACAATGTCGAGCTTTCGACAGCGAATGTCTTTCACAGTTTACAACAGATGCATTATCCCCTAGTGAATGCTACCGTGTTCCGTTTCCAATTGTTTAACAGGTGTTCTTTTGCTCTCAGACTTTTTGTTAGAATTTGTCCTGATGGGGGAAGTGTCTCTCGCCGCGGTCAAAGTCGAGGAGTTACTAAAGGAAGTGCGAATAGATTATACGAAAACTAAGACTGTGGAAGGAGCTGTTGCCTCTGTGCGAGATATTTTACAAACTCTTGGTACTGTGGAGGTATGTTTGCCGATCACCTTCAAGTATAATTATGTGCAGACACGTACTATCTTTGTGTAGATTCTATATGCTCGAACTTGTGTGCTGTGTTAATCGGTTGATTTGTTGCTCCAGGTCTCGTCCTCCGTAGCTGCTAGATTTGTGAAAGACCTCGGCGTACCGGATGACAAATGCGGTTTCAAATTTCAAAAGCCTGTTTCCGTGAAGGTGATAGGCAGTTTTGTTACCCAGTCAGTCACCAAGCCAGTGCAAAATGTTGACCTGGCAGTGCTCATCCCAAAGGTAAAGATTTGCTGATCTACTTGTCTTTTCTGTTACACCTCCTGTCATGATTTACCGATGAAACTGGACTGCTGTCTCAACAAGTCGTTGGTTTTTCACAGACTTGCTTTCACGAGAAAGATTATTTAAATTACCGATATCATGCAAAGCGGTTACTATACCTCGCTGCAATCGAGCGAGAGCTTTCTAAGATGGGCTCGTTCGAGAAAATGGAGTGGACCTCCTTGCACGAAGATGCTACCAAGCCCGTATTGATTGTCTATCCAGGTGAGCTGTACCTCTCACAAGCACCTACTGCAGTTCGGAAACCACTTGTTTAAAGTTACCTAGTATATCCTTACATTGGCTCACGTTTGGGACGTGGCCTTCACAAAGTTGATCTGAGGTTGTCACATTGGGGATGACGTGGGTTCTTGTTGCGTTCCAGCTGCCGATGATTCTGGAGTGGCCACGAAGTTTTTGCTCCGATTGATACCTACCATTTCAACGGAACACTTCGATTTCACGAAGTTCGGACTTGAGAGAAATAATGTCCGGGACGCTAAGTCTAGAGGTGCGATCTGGTAGCTTTTATTGGGGTTTACGTTGGTTCTTGGTTTAAGAGCTGAGGTATGAGACTGTTATGAACAACTGGAATTCCTCCCTAAGAATTCTTATGCCATTGTAACTTTCCTGATGTTTCGGGTTTATCGAACTTTCCCAGGACAGAAGGGCTTGCTCTGCCAACCCCTCATTACAGTTCCAGTATTGTGGAGGATATGTTGATTCAAGAGCATTCAGACTGGCTCGAGTCTCATTTATCGAAATCCCCTACCCTGCGTGACGCCATATCTCTCGCCAAGGTGATTCGCCTAAGATTGCCATACATGTTTTCCTCCCTTACAGCACTTCTACATCATGTCAAATGCGAATCGTGTTGAAAATCAACCCTAATCACTGTACTCCTGACAGGTTTGGCTCAGACAACGAAGCGTAGATGGTCACCGAGATGGACTTAACGGTTTCTTGATGTCAGCCCTCATCGTCCACCTTAGCACTCCCGCAGGAAAGCAGCGCATATCGGAGCACATGTCAGCATTACAGATGTTCCGTGTGACGTTGGACGCTATTGGTACGTCGCTATGGTGTCGGGAATGAGTTTAAGCACATGTGATAGCAGTCTTCTGTGTTGTGGCTCTTTAACTTTGAAACTCGAAGATTCTGAATTATATCTTTCGATGGGTCTGCACGTTTTCTGTATCAGGCACCATGGACATTCTCGGTCGAGGACTTGTGATGCAGAGGCTCGTAGAGAATTCTGTTTCTAGCGATGTGAGTGTTCTCATCCCTTACCATTTCATACCTGCAACTCGCCGAAAGTCGTTGTCAGGAGTCACAGCCTCTAGAGATTCCTTTTCACGAGTCGTGATGTGAAGCCCGGAATTTCCTATATGTCTTATGCATGAGTTGCACGTCCGTGTAGTTTCCATAGTTTGAAGTTCTCGAGCTGATGGCATCGTGACATTCTCACTTTCTTTTTCTCCCACAGGTGAAACAGATGAAGTCTTCCTTCGAAGTCGTGATGGTCGATCCTTCTGGGCGTTTAAATCTCACTCATCGATTAACGAAAAGTGCGCTTGAAGAGGTTTGTTTCGCAGTCACTTTTTCAACGCCTTAACAGTTCTATTACAGAAGTTCGTGGTTTCGTCTGCTACTCACAAGATCGGATTAATGTATAGTGAGATCTGTTCTAAAGGAAAGTGTTTGCTCGCGATTCTGCATTTTGTAGTTGAAATACGATGCTCTTCGCACTTTGGAGGCTATGAAGGGTCTGAAGGACGGAGGATTCGATGCGGTCTTCATGACGCGTGTAGGATTTTCTGCCAAGTTTGACTATCACATAAGGTACCAAACATCATTTACCACTAGTGTTATATACTCTTGAGGAAAGGTCTGATATTATGTTTACCATTGCCCGTGCAAATTTACTGACGAACAAATCAGTAGGATCTGCATCACGAGTCTACATCACGATCTGCATCCCATCTTCTTCCGCCGAGTTATGACTTATACTCGTTGCTCTGTGGTCGTGGGTTTTGCAGATTTGAAGTTCCAGACAGAACTACAAAATCCCCTCTGTGTCTTGATATGGAGCGCTGGCGGGTTTTTGAGAGGAAGGTGGAAGCTATACTCCGGAAAGCTCTTAGTGAGAGGGCTGTCCTTGTGCGCGTTTTACAACGATCTCTACCGTCAGGATGGAACCCATCCGTGGTAGGTGTTGTTTTATCATCCTAAATGGTTATCTAATTGAAGCTATAATGAATCTGTTGTTGCACTACGCATGCGAACGTTTATTCACTGCAATCTCTGCTTAAAGGGGTTGGAGTGCGTGGAGAAGGTTCCACTTCTTGCGGGAATATTTTTAAACAACCATGAAGTTGCGCTCCGAATGGCGGATGTCGGTCCGGGTGCTGATGATAAAGTTGAGGTAAACGCGGTTCGCTTCATAACCTCCACCCTAGTTCTAATGGAACTTTACTAATGTTTTTTCTCTCAAGCGTATGGACTGAACACTTCAGGACTAGGATCCACCTTAACGTTGTGACAGTTTTGTAGAACGTTGTATTGTCTCTTGTCGTGCACTTTTAACAAAATCCGCTTTACAATGGATAATTGCCAATACTCAGGCCAAGAAGTTCAGATCGTTTTGGGGTGAAAGGTCAGAGCTTCGAAGGTTCAAAGACGGCAAAATTTGTGAAACTGCAGGTATTTGAAATTTTGTAGCAGCTTTCCTTGCAGTCTTCTCCTAGAAGGACGAGTAGATGATGTTGAAGGTTTGGGTTCGCGCAGAGAGTTGTGTTCTTTTTTCTCTGATGAGATTATTATGACCAAAGTCACTATTAAAGGTGGGGTCTGTTACGGTTAAAGCATGAGGACTTCTGTTACACTGAGGAGCTCAACTTGCGTAATATAAGTTTCTGATTCTATCTCCATGAGCTCCAACTCATGGAGATAGAATCAGATGAACTTTTGGACGTTACCGATTATAACGCTTTTCTCATCATCTGTCATGCAGTCTGGGAATGCCAACCAACCGAAAGGCACCTGATTATTGAGCGTATTGTACATCACGTTTGCTTAAGACACCTTGCTCTGTCGCCATCAGACGTCAAAGTTGTTGCTGGACAGCTCGACTTTGCTGTATCCGTGAGAGGAAAGGGTAAGTGAATTTTGTTGTCTGGGCAATACTAAATCTCAGTGGGCTCCCAGCCCGGAGCAATGCAGTCTTCAGGCGCTTTACTTCTAATCCTAATAGGGGTTGTTTGAGGGAAGGAAGTGAAGCTCTTGGAATTCCATTTTAGTTTACTTTCTTCAGGCAAGAGCTCATCATCTTGTTCAGATGGGATGGAAAGATTTTACTTGATCTACCTGTGTGTTTATTAGTAGTTTTCAGGGAATTGTCATGCACTTAAAATCGCCAAGTTTGCGAGATAATTTTGCAGATCAGTCAGCTGTGATCCCCAAAATTCTTGAGGTTTTTGAAAATTTATCTAAAAGATTGCGAAGTTTGGAGAACCTACCGTTACACATTGTGAGCGTACAGCCATTAAGTGCTGGTAATATTCCTTCACCTTAAACCTTCTCTTTCTTTTCCCTAGCCGAGGCTGTGTTTTCACTTAGATAATACATCTGCTTATTATTTGTTCAATGTTCGCTTCACACTGTTTGAAATCGTCCTGCAGAATTTAGACACTCAGCTGTCTACTACCCACAGCCGCATCCCCTAGCGAGTGAAGTGGTTCTATCGAAGCCTCTGCCGAAGGTCTTGGGCTCTTGCTTGGACCCTCTGGAAATTGTGATACAGGTAATCATTGCCGTCCTTGCTCCTTAGTAATATGTTTATCACAATTTATATGAGCATTCAACCAAATGTGCATACTTGGTGGAACAACATATCGTGGATTGTAATAATTGAAAGTTCTTTGCTTATGATCTGTATTTTTACAAAGTTTGCCAATTTGCTTTGTTCCTTTTGCAGCTCGAAGGTTCCGGTAGATGGCCTGATGATCCTGTAGCCATACAAAAGACGAAACTCGCGTTCTGCTTGAACATAGCCGACAGGTAGAAGTCAAAGAGCATTGTCTTGGAATGGGATTCACACGCCCGTACCTACGCCATTACTGATATTCAACTTCAATTGGGCATGAGGTTGTCATCTTATCAGTATATTTTTTGTACAAATTCCAGTATGCAGGTAAAGTGGGGCGTCCACTGTGTCGCCAGCGAAGAAGCCGTTGATATACTAATGGACGGCTTTGCTTTCCGACTTTCCATTCTTTACGAAAAGGATCGAACTTTGATCAATAAGGAGAGATTAGGTATACATGCTACCCAGTCGTGCACTTGTTCATTCGAAAGTCAGGTGATTCCAAGTGACATGTTCGTTGGTCCGTCTGCTCTATTACTGCGTCTAGGTTTGAGACCTTGATTGCGAGTTTTAGTCGAGCACTCTCTTATGTTGATAAACCTTGATCTATACGAACTAACGCTCCTGTGAACCATTTGCAGCTTCGTCGCTCGCGACCGGAAGTGGTTTACCTTTGAAATTTGGAGCAACTGTTCTCAATTCGCAGCCAGCTTCTCTTAAAGGAGATCGGCTGCTGAGAAGCATGCACGCCAGCATTCTCCTCGGTCTACATGGCCTGTACCCAGCCTTCAGCCCTACAGTAAGGTATGTTCACTAGTAGAAGCATTATCACAAAATCAAACCAAGTGACTCGATCACACACTCATGGTTGGGCTTTCAGTTTGTAACGAATTCGTACTTGACAGGCTTGCGAAAAGGTGGCTGGCTTCACACTTGTTTTCAGGTGTGCTTGCCGATGAAGCGGTGGAGCTCCTGGTCGCGCATTTGTTCGTGAATCCATCCCCTTACTCTCCTCCGTCGTCTCGTGTTACTGGTCTTCTGAGGTAATTTTACTTTCTCCTTTTATGAATGTATGTGTTGAACTCAGAAGTACGTGTATAATGAATTTATCTTTTTGTTGTGCCTTTTTTAACCTGATCTGTGTAGTATGATCGTTAGAGGTATACTTGACATGGTTATTACCTCATTTCTAGATAAGCTTCTTAGTAAATTGAAAAGAACCACGGTGATGATCACATTTAGTTAGCCTAGTTCAGCTCAGCTTTCGGGCTGGCCTGGGCCATGTGGCCTCAAACTCGTTGTCTGAGTGGTTGAGAATTTAGAGAAGTATGTACACGAAAATCGGCATGGTGGCATCATTATAGCACGGTGATTCGCATTGGCAGTCTGCCCTGCTCGCCCGTCGTTTTACTACCAGATTATGTTAGGTTAGTTGCATAAGTTGTTTTGAATACAGACACAAGCGATTGGAAAATTGTTTTGATTCTTTTAGAAAATTTTCGCCTCTTCTCGGTGACCCATTTTCCTCGACCCTATAGTTGGTGTGATTAGTTGTGTTTCTTTCTAGATATAAAGAATCCAGAAGACCTTTGATCAAATGTTTACGGCAGCAAGTATACCTTAGTGTAGGAGTTTATTGACACTTTCAAAAGCTCAAAATGTGGGTGAAGTTTCAGCAACTGACTTTTAGTAACCCTCACTGAACATTCGTGCCAAGTGTCCGAAGAAAATTCGCGAGTGTTCACACTGATGAGACATAAATCGTTTGCCGAGGTTGTTTCTACTTTGTGGTAGTTCCATCCTTTGAGGCTCTAAACTCGTTGTCTGAGTGAATGTCTCTTATATTGTGATGGTTTGCAATCACTTCACCTGAGTGTACCATGTTTGTTGTTTGGGTTGTCTTCTAAGATCTTTTGCTGTCTCGGTGACCCGGTATTGAGAACCCTGAACTCGTGCAATTTATGGTGTTTCTTTCCAGATATATGAGGAGTCTACTAGCCTTACCATAATTGTGTATGTCAGCAAGTAAACGTTTAGTATAGGATATAATTGAGTCTTTCTTTCGAAAGGTTCTAGTGAGGGTGGAATGTCAGTAATGAACTAAGGATAAACGTGAGTGTGCGAGTGTCCGGAAAAACTACGCGAGTGTTCACACTGATGAGACATAAAACGTTTGCCGAGGTTGTTTCTACCATGTGGTAGTTCCACCCCTTGAGGCCCTAAACTCGTTGTCTGAGTGAATGTCTCATCAATTGTGATGGTTTGCAATCCCAAGTGCTGGATTTTTTATGTATTATAGCTACCTATTCAGTGAGGATCGCTTGACCTCAAGGAAGAAATTTTTATACGTCCGTGTCGAATTTGTGGTCAAGCCACAGCTGGACTGAATGTTCTTCCTTCAGGTCAAAACCGAGATGTACGTCTGATGACATCGATGAGACAGATTGCATTGTGGATCATCATAAGGCAATCTGCTGAAGTGTTATTAGTCTCGTTGTCTTTGTGACGATTATGGGAAAATAAAATAGTGTAACAGAACAACTGCAGAAAGCCAGTCCATCTCGCCCAGTTTGTCACGGTCGTCTTATTTTAAATATTCAGTGCCTCCACTTGGTTTTTATGGACTAGTGGGCAATGTGCTGACAGTGAGTGGCCACAGTGATGACCCATACGTGTAGCCGAGTTTGATTCTTCTTCTGGTAGATTCATTCGCTGAGGCCTTAAACTCGTTGTCTGAGTGAGCATGGGCTTCTTGTATAATGAATGCTGACAGTGAGTGGCTACAGTGATGACCCATACGTGTTGCCGAGTTTGATTCTTCTTTCTGGTAGATTCATTCGCTGAGGCCTTAAACTCGTTGTCTGAGTGAGCATGAATTTCTTTTATGGTCGTTTTGCTTGATCCCATCTTTGCTTCACAGTTTCGAAGCATCGGGTTATGCTCTATATCTATATCTGCCGGGTCTGTGTTCTTCTGTCTCACGTGTGAAGCCCTCGCGGTCGATTACGTCTTTTTCAATTGTTTCCCTTTATAGTTTTTCCCCCCGGATTTCTTCATTAGTGATCTAGTCTTACCAGCGGCATATTCTTTTTGATCCGTCACAGTGACGTTCACAGCTTCAAGCGGAGTATGTCCTTACCTTGCCTTTAGGTGTACGTGAAGGCTCTGAACGTTTTATTTAAGCAACTGTCCTTCATCTTTTATTTCATCAATAATTTGCTACCTATAAATACCGTTATCTCTCGTACTGCTGACCTCCACATTTTCGGAAGATGTTTGTGTGGTTCAATTTATGTCACTGAAATTTATTATCATTCTCGCCTAGCAATCCCTTTAAGTTCCCCTAGAATTGCAAGTTTTGACGAAAAGTAGGCTTTCAATGCAAATGAGTAACGAGAAACAGGTGCCGGTGCCTACTGGACCGAGTGGTTATCTGATACCAATATCTTTGCCATTATCATTTCAGGTTTCTAAGGCTGCTCGAGAGCCATGACTGGTTGTTAGCACCTCTGATCGTGGATGTGAATGCTAGCATCACACCGAACGACGAAACTATTATTATGGTGATCTTACTGAACTCTTCACCAAGGTCGGGCACTTCCGACAACGTTGTTGTTTGTTAGTGCTTGTACATGGTCTGTTTGTGCTTTGAAATCGGTAATTGTTGTAAAAGCTGAATTCTGGACCTGAAACCCCATGTCACTTCTTTTCTATCATCGCAGTCACAGTTTGACAAGCTGAATCGCGACAGCAATAGCGTTTGTGAAGGTCCTGCTATGTTTATAGCAACTGCTTATGACTTGAGTTCCGAGACATGGACAAGAGACTCTCCGAATGTTAAGGTAAGATTCGTTCTGCTGTTTGCATCAATTGTAGCGAGTTTGCTTTCCTACCTGGACCCTGTGGTCTTGATTCTACTTCTGGGATCTGAACATCCAACGATTTGTGTGGCAGGGCCTCAAGCGGTTAGTGGCTTACGCGAAGAGCTCTTCTGCATTACTATCCAGCATGATAATGAGTCATGATAGTTCTGCAAAATGGCAGGTATATATCTCAAGTAATGATACTCTTCTGAATGTGCACTTAATATGTATTCACGTATCTTGGACTTTCCGCGAGTGAGCATCTCATACATTTATAAACTATTTGTATAATGTGTGCAGACTTTATTCCGAACACCATTGAACTGTTACGACGCCATTGCTCTTTTGCATGAACAGAGCCTTCCTCATCCAAGTCGATTGCTTTTTCCTGCCCACGTAGACATCCCGTCTGTGGTATCTAGAAAAGCACCCGATGATATACTAGCACTTATTCCCTCACCGGTCATGAAAGCCGGCCCTATAGCAGCAAGAAATCATCTTTTGATAGGCTTTGATCCAGTAGAAGAATTCGTGAAAGAGCTGAAAGAGCGGTTAGGCGAGTCTTGCTCTATTTATTACGATCAGTTAGGTAGTGACGTTGTGGGGCTAAGTTGGACAGCCGGTTCAAGCGGGAAGAGGAAAAGAGAGGAAAAGCTCGAAAATTCTGTCGATGTGGATGACATTGTTCGACACATAAATGAAGCCGGTGCTGGGCTTGTGAAAAGTATTCATCTTTCTGACAGAGTTAGGAAGGTAGGCCTGCCGGCTGTAAGTAAGCAGGTGCAGAAGATGAAACGCGTGGCGAATCTCTCTACAGAGAGGAAGAAAGGGTCGAAGAAGGGAAAATGACGCCTTGTGGAATAGGTAGAGAAGAAAGTACATTTAGTCGAGAATTCGTAAGTTTTGCAGAGTAGATTGTGCCCACTGTGAACGGACAGAAGTTGAAGTGTATATTAGCGCGCGGTATATGTACAAAATTTTCTACACTTCGCCTTATACCTAGTATGTGCGTCTTACTTGTATTCCCAATTTGGAGGAATGTCGATGTCGTGCGCCATAAGCACGGTTCAAGTGTTGCAACAGTATACATGGATTGCCGGAATCTTCATACAGCACTAAAGTAGGCATGGGATTTTGTATCTACGTGGACCGTTGTGTGAGAGAAACTCCTGCAGTCCAAAGTCATTCGTGTTTCCTCTTTCGCCTTAGCCAGGTCAGTCCGTCGTGAATCCTCTGGGAAATTCCTCCGAAAGTGGTATAGGGAATTATATTTCCAAGTCTTGTTTATCTAGGATTCGCGTCTATAAATAAGACGTGGTAGTTTGGAGTAAAACCAGAAACCAGAAAACCAGAAATTGCTTAGGAAGCAAGGATTGCCTGGCAATGTGATTGACTCATAGGAGGGGAAATTTCATATACCGAAAAATCGTACCCTCCATCAGAATAATAAGTTTAAATGACAAGTACACCAGATTGATATATTCTTTGTTTCTTTCTTACAGAAACAAAGAAATCATAAAATGTCATATATATGCGGTATATCATAAGATAATATAATATGCCGACACGAGGAGGAATTTATAAGTTGAAAATTTGACGATTAAGAACCACAAAACTGTTCATGAGAGTAGTGTAAATTCACAATATTCTTACAACAACTTTTTTTTTACCAAATATCTTATTCAAAATAGGTTGGTCACGGCATCCATTGGACCAAGGAAAAACTTTGTGAGCTTTTCAACAATGTGAAAATAAGTTTGGGCAATCAAAAGTGACGCCAAATTTATTGTGATTTTTCACATCAACCATACATCGTATCGTGCAATCTCATTTCGTGGAAAGACCTTACAACCATAAAAATGGATCTTTGAATTACATGTTGGATATTAAAGGACACAAGTGCTTGAAGTATTTGTATACCCGAAGTTGTACCTAAATCACAGTAACCAATATGTGTGTACGAGTTTTAGTTACTCGGGTAGGATAAAATATAAGATGAAATTTTTTTATAAGAATTGTGTGTCATTGGGGAGGAAGCGTAAAAGAGTGCTTTGAGTTTCATGTGCATGGCAGTGGTTAGGTCGGAGGTTCAGCTCTGGATACTCATGTGAAGAGGAGGTAGTAAACATCTGAAGATCTGTTTATATCTAAAGACAGCATCTTTGAAATTATGCAGATCTGAATGACCTTGAAAATGGAAGTTATTCGGGATCTTTCAAGTGAGCAGATGGAACGGGGATGGATTCTCTTTAAGAGGTGTAGTGTGTTCGATTATCCTAAAACATGCTCTAACCTGTTATTGTACACACATTTATCTTATTCCATATATTTTTTGCAAATTAAAATAATGGAAGACTTTTAATTATCCCTAGAATCAAATTGGGGAAAAATAAATAGATTTTCACTATTCACGTAACCTTGTAACTCCTGTCTATGTATGAAAAATCATCACATGTACTAGTCACACGTGGTGGTAGAATGTCGTGGTGGTTATCAAAGGTTTAGAAAGACTATCATGTATAATCTTGGATAGACAATCATTACAACGACAATAACAAAGGTTTTTAAGTATAGAAATATACAGAGATGTCAATTGTTCGTGTACTGGAATAAAATGGTACAATCCTTGAGAGATTCAGCTAAAACTTGAATATATTGCTTCACAAAAATCATTAACTAATGCTGCGTATAAACAAACATCACGTCAGTTGATATGTAACTGATTGCTCCTATCGTCAGTGAACTATTTGACTTTCATAGATTCGATATTCTAGATGATATGAAAAATCTATCCCTTTGTGAATCTACTATTAGGGCTCGTCCTTGGTTTTAAGATTAAATATCTGATCTCTTTCCATCTATGTTCATTTTCTACTCGGATGCAGTTTTCATTTGGTAGACAACATTGTAAGCAGGCAGATCTCATTGGATTCAGGGTTGGTGTCTAGTGTGTGTGGAACTTTGCCTGTCGGGTCATTTTGGTTTTTATATTGGGAATGGTTAATATACGGCTTGGAGCGCAGTAGAAATTTAAGGACAAACCAAAACGAAAAGGCGACCAGCGGCGGCTCGAATGATTGAGAACGGAACTGAATCACATGATCTCTAAGTCCGCGCAGACATACACATGGTCCACATGGCCTACAGAATGCCTCCCTCGGAGACGTCAATGGCTACGGTTGTGACCGATCTTAAGGTAGGACAGCTGATGCTCGACCCATCTGCAGAACGAATTCTTTCGACCACTGTAACAGCACGTACTCGTTTTTTTTATGTCGTACTCCCCGAGCTTCAAGACACCGCTCGCCAGTCCTTCACAGTATGAACATCTTCTTGCAATAAGTTAAGAATTCTCGTGAATTTCGAGTTTTAAACCTTACTGCTTGCATCAGTGCATCATCTATCTAGCACGATAGGGTATCTTCCGGTCATGTTCAATAGGGGTGTTGCAGATGTTATCTTATGATAAGTAAACCTCTGTAATTATAATCTTACAGAGCCTAAATATCTTATATTATTCTTCATGTGGAGAAACTGTGGATTTTTTAAAGTTACTCTCAGCTTTTTTGAGAAAAAATCTATCCCCTATGGATATATTTAAAATATTTTTTTAGAAAGAAGATCACCATAGGATAAGGTTATTTGCAATTAATTTCTTTATGATTAAACAATAGAAATCCCTTTCATTTTCACATAACTCGCATAATTGTAAAAAAAAATTCGTGAATTATCTAATTTTGAAAATCTTTACAGCGAAAAAAGTATCATACACGTCCACAGTCACAATAATAATGGTCTCCGAAATGACATTCGATTATAAGTATCAAAATTAATAAAAAAAAATTTCTACTGAGGTGCATATTCACATGTGTGTTTCTCCTCAAAAGCCAAGGAATCTTGTCGAGAGACATCAATCTTATACCAAATAAAATAATGAGAGTTGCGAACCCGTTCAAAGAACCCGTTCAATTTATTTCTTACATAGAAGTTCTGCACTAACAATCAAAACAGTCAATAACAGGACTCAGTATGTTCGCGGGTCTTGACACAAGATTTCACATCACACTATTGAGATGTTCAGCCATTTCCATATTCAGTTGGCAACTCAACATAAGGTCAACTCGAGCAAGAAAACTGAACAGAGAGACATGTTGATCCCTATCGATGTTGATGACTTCTCATGATCAGGAGCGTTACATCGTTCGCACGAGGTATGAGGCTTCGTCTTATATAAAGTTTTCTCTCCAAGAGGTAACCTAAGAGTATGGCATATATTTTACCGTCTGTCATATTTTGCACTTGTTAATAAACGTACACTGCAGTTGAAGAGGGTACTTTTCAGTGAGATGAAGTTAGCAGATTTCATTTCCCCTGAAAGCACTGGGTTTCTATTTACCACTCTTGCAAATAAAATATCGCTTTTCCATCACACTTTTATATTCTGGTATGGAAGCAGAAGAAGTGTTGAAACTTCGTGATTGTACTACTGTTCTAAAGTTTATGTTTAAATAACTGGCAAATCTTTCTGGGTATTTTCTGAAGACATGGAAAAAGATGTTTCTATGTCAGCAATAGAAGCTTCCAGGTCGTCCTTTCAACTTTCCTTTTTACTACTGGAGTGATTCAGTCCAAAATGTCAAATTCGAATGTCAAATTCATGGATATGATGCGGTCTTCAGTTAGGATTGTACCTAACCCATTGACGGTCTGCGTATACGATCGGCCCTGATGAAAGTCCAACACTTCACGTATGTGGCGAAGAAGCTCTACTCTGACCCAAGTTTGGCATGTACGCACGGGGTATGACCATGTCTATCGTATCGAAACCATTTAGCGGACAACGCTGAAATGCTCCAAATGTCCGCAAGCAATAAAATGCTCGAAGGTAGTCAGTCAGTTCGCAATCCTGCGATCGGCAACATGAAAAGAACCCTCGCTTGCACCCGGATCCCCTATCTGAATCGTCAACGGTCGCGAAGATGGGGCTAGTCTCGTCCCGACTGACTAGCAGAGAATCACATGTCGTCGTGGATCGCTTCGCGCGAAGGTCCCCCCGAACATTTCACCTTCGTATCGGGGTCTAGGCCTCACGACGTCATGGGGCCATGGAGCTATCTACTCCTTCGTGGTTATCGGCCTGCAAATATCTATATATCTATCCACGTAGTACTGTGGCTGTACGTCAATAGTCTGCAAGAGACGAGTGGTTGCTCAACGCATGTACAGTATAATATCCGTACGCACTTCCGAGCATTGACAATGGGGTCATTCGTTTCGTAATGATAATCTATATCAGTACTAAATCACAACAATCTTTTCCTTTGCATGATTCTTGCTTCAACCTATCAGTTTCTCAGATCCTCACTTCAGCGTAATTTTATCGAATAAGTTCAATCACCCGGCAAAATTTATGAACCAAGTGTGTCATAATTCCATAAGTGTAAACGACATGACTATTTCTTGTCTACGCAATGAGTGTAGACATAGGAAGATATCAGTTCGGACTAGGGCCTAGTCCAAACTGATAGAAACGCCCTCTTCGTTTGCCTAGTCACTAGGCAAACGAAGAGGGCGTTTCTATATAAGATCCAAAGTCTTTACCGTATTGCTTTCGTCAGGATTAAATATATGAAGCTTTCACAGGAACCTTGCAAAGGACCCACATAGTGGACCAAAATTTATAACAGACCTACTTGTACCACAGTCATCGTTACCTTTGGCACCTGCTGTACCCAGCTCGATTTGTATCCGGTTTATTGCATCGGAATATTTGCCGATAAAAGCTTCTCGTGTGATAGTAGTAGGCCAAATAGTCAGCCATAAAAATTGGCAATAAAGTCGTACCATAAGTATATCATAAAACTCACTCTCCATAAAATATCCTCGTCGCAACACTGAATTGTACCAGTCCTGAATTGCCCTCATGCGAAATGTGAGCTGTACTGCAGAATATTGCACAGTGCAGTAATCAGACAGACTGGGTTTGTCCATCTGCTGCAGAACGTCTGTGCGGAGATGAACGCAGTTGCGGCTGTGGAGGGTCCCATAATTTCATAAAATAAAGGCTCGCGAAAGTACATGACAATTGTCAAGGCCCATCAATCAGGAGAAACGCTCTTGCCTGATCGGGTATAAATGACGAGCGTACAAGCAGAAGGCCAGCTTCTCATCTGAATCCGGCTGCTATCTATTCTGTCGAGATGACGCGGGCTTCAGCTTTGATCTGGACTCTGGGTGTCTTCCTCTCGTGTCTACTACTACAACAAGCTCATGGTAATCGCGAGTCCACGAAGTTATTGCATGCCATCATCCTGCAAGACCCTGGGCCGATGTCTGCAGATTCAAATTCTGGCCTGAGAGGAGCACCCGGTTCATTGCTGAAGCTTCTCAGAGGCGTGACTTTGTAAATTTATCGAACACTGACTGACACGAGTACGACGTATTCACGAGTGATTGTGTGTCTGGATTGCAGGATTTGAGCTCGCTCAGTCAGTGCGACGGACTCGTCATCATCACTCCTACGGTTGGCAGTCGCCCATCGAGTTCGATCTCAGATGCATGATATGGAGAAACTACCCGGAATATCTCGGACTGCAAACTGATTATACTCCTGCACGAGCAAATGTTGAAATCCATCACGATGATACACTGCAAGTGAGTGTTCAGAACTTTCTGCGTTTGTCCCAACAGCTATGACATGAAGTGTTTGAGCAGTTGCTCGCTCTGAAAATTGATGATTAACTATACCTGTCCATTCGCGAGGACCCAGTATAGAAGAACTCGTGCCAACAGATCTGCAAGTCTCCTGATGCACTTGGGCTGAGCTCGACTCTAGCCGCGAATATCGATACTGCCACGTTCAACAATTCTAACTCGGCCAAACTGGCTCGCTCGCTCGCAGGTGACTTTTCTTTCGTCTGCAGGCACGTTTACTCACAACAAAATTACGTACGACTTGCAGCAGTTTCATTTCCACCATCCTCCAGAGCATACATTCCGTAGTTATCCATACGTGTGCGACGATGACGACCTCACGACACAGTAAGACCGCAACAGATATTATTGATTTCCTCGATGAGATGTAACTGGCGTGTGAACTGCTCTCAATCGTCAGAACGTTGCAGAGAAACTTTTCTAGCTTTATAAACATCAGAACGAATCGAGACTTTAGATATGGAGGTTTTCAATCAAGCCCTTCATTTGGATAGCAGCCGGAGATTGTCCATTCGCAGCAATTACAGTTTTCACCAACGAACTTTCTATGCTCGGCGAGGAACATCGAGCTGACTTGAGTTGAATGTTTGACCTCTAGGCGGCCTCGTAGAGACGAATTTGTTTTGGAGATGCACCTCGTTCATCAGACTCCCGACGCAAAAATTGCAGTGATTGGTGTCCTTTTCAAGCTTGGAAAGCCCAACAGATTTCTCAACAAGGTATCTCCAGCTGAACATGAAGTCCGACTGTTAGCATCGATTTGCAGCTGTATTGATCTTTCCTTGTCACCTAAGCAGTCTTTTATAGGGGCCAACAGCTTGTTACTCATACCGTTTTCCTTGTCTGTGATGTGGAATTATATTTCTCAGTTTTGGGACTTCATTCCAGACGTGGAGGAGGGTTCGCCCGTGGGAGTGGATGACATAGATGCGGCCGACCTGGACTTAAGCGACGTATTCATCCAGTACATGGGCTCTCTTACCACAACACCCTATACCGAGAATGTTTTCTGGACTGTGACATGTGGAAACGTACGTACACGCTTCACTCGTTTTCGAGTTCTGTTTAGATACATATAGATATGCTTTGAATATTGAGCAGCTGCAACTATTTCTGAAATCTGCACAGTGTCTAGATACAAGGTTGTGAGTCGCGTCCAAATTACCGAGTCGCCCTGTCTGATCAAGAATTTAGGATTGCCCTGAGCAATGTTTTCTCGTTGGTTTGTGAGATTTTGTTCCATTGCATGGCAGTGATCATGAAGCTCTAGAAGCTCGAAAAACAAAATGCTTTTTTGGACTTTGGTTTTGAGTCTTCAAACCAAAGCAGCCATTTTGCTTTTCGAGCTTCTAGAAACAGCGGGTCAATAGCCCTCTGTTAGTGTAGTGTACATAGTTGCAACTCTCTGAGGGCGACGTGGAAGCCTCGTGCATTCATCCTCTAGTCTCTCGCCCTTCAGGTCCTTTCGTAAAGCCAAAGAAAGTAACAGAATTTCCGCAGTCATAAGTGCTGTCTACATGGCTAGACAGCAACTTAGCAACCTATCAGTTTCGTCCGCTGGGAACAAGTCCTTGCTGGGCAATATTTTATTGTTTCGATATTTCTGTTTATGGAGGACAAAGCGCGTAGTTGCAAACAATGCCCAGCTACAGTCCATCTTATTTACGCTAGCTTTCAATATAGCGTGATAGTGAAACAGGTGTATGATAATAAATCCATGCTCATAGCAGAACTTCAAGGGCCAACTTGAGGACTACTGTGGGTGTAATCCCATCGAATGGCTTAGAGGGTCTTGGAATGCCTACGAAACGAAAGCTTGCTGCATGAGCTCTAGAGACCTTGAATTGCTTCTAGCGCTGCAGAAGTACTGATTTTTGTTGGAATTGCAGTGGAATACTATATCCAAGGAACAACTGGAGCGACTACAAAATAAATTACCGGTAAGATTGTCGGATTAGGCATTTTCTCGAAGCTCTTCAGTCAGAAAGAGTTCTTAAAATCCATGTGTTGAGTCTGCCTTCTGATTGATTCCTCAAATTGCTGAAGCAGATATACTAGGAGTATCTCCCTTGCACTTGGACACAGCATATGGATGGAGCCCGTTCGTATCTCCATGTGAATAATGCAAAAGTAAATTCTTATCCACCTCTTGTCTGTTGCTGCAGGGAGCTAACAATCGAGTGACCCAGCCGTGGAATGGCCGTAAAGTCTACCTGAACTTCCCATATGATGATGATGATTCAAAAATCCGCCAAGACGCATCGTCCCTCTTGCAATCCTCCTAGAGAATCGAAACCGGTCTACGGCTAGACTGCGAAAGTCAGACAGAAAAGTATATAGCTACCCATTGGCGTAGATCGTCTACTAAACATCGTGTTGCCGAAGCCAGCTAAATAAAATGAACGCCACCTTTTCCTGCAGACGGCATGAGTTTCTCTTTCTGATGGTGTTGGCATATCGTACTTTTTCAAATGCTTGAAGTAACAGACCGGACCTACAAATCTGGAGTCTCATTCATCTGTGTATGTATCGACTTTGCACTCTTTGTGCAAAATGCAAACTCTGTGTTACTGACACACGAACAACACGTTTTAATAACATGTCTCCAAGTCGATGTCAGACACTCATGCCTTTTGACCCTTTGTGTCCCTCGGGCTTGATCTATTTACCATTTCCCATGGTCGCAAAATGGAGATTGTACTGACGAATAAGAATCAAGGCTGCAAGCAATTTTCAAGCATAGGTGGCAAGGAAGCATTGAGAGGAGTCATTCATAACATCTACAAAGAGAAAGCTGGAGAGGTGGGATCGAGTAATTTCTACACTGTTAATCGAACCACGCATCTGATGAATAAGTGCTGTTCCCATGTTATATCACAAAATCCATAAATGTTTGTTCCAAATTTGTCATTCGTCAAACGTTGTGCATCACCAAAGAACGTGTACAGAAGACCCCGTGGAACGATCTTCACCGATCTTCATACAGCTCCTGTAAATTTCTCCCGATGGGAGCGTACTGCAGATCTAGAAACTTGCAATGGTTTCCGAGCATGGCTTCTCTTTCCTTCTCTCCAGGGGCCACCCTTGTCCTCGCTTTCGTTACGAAGCACTACGTCATGGGAGCCACATCACATGATGTGGTAGCATTTCTCTCTTTCTTTCTCTCTATCTCTTTGTATTGCTGTCTCAAGTTACAAATGATGTCGAACTTGGTACATAACTCTAAAGATAGGAAAACAATTTGACATATTTAGCTACTCACGCATCATAAAACCTTCCACATGGTTGATCACTTTCATGACATGCAAGATTGATGATCAAGAGATGTGGCAAGATAATCTTTCACTTAATTGAACAGATTTGGGGCCTATTTATGATTAATCATAGTTAATTTGAATAATAAAAAAAGTGTAAAGTAAAATTCAATGACATAGTGGGTTATCTTCTTTTGATTTTGTATTGATAAATTACTCTTAAAGAAATTTTTTGCATGTGTGATTTTATATGAAATAAAGGTTTAAAGAGATGAATCATTTCAAGCTATGTATTTTCAGAAGAAATTAATGGTACTACTGGAAAAATATCTATGCATGATCAATCAAAGATCCAACCAGTTTACAAGCTTTCAAGAATTTATGAATTTTAGAAGAATTTCTAGATTCACTACCAAGAGTAAAAGAAATAGCTCTTTGTGTGTCTCCTCTAAAAAGAAAATTCTCACATTCTTGTATGTTTTTTGTCAAAAATGGTTGTGCATCCAACTCGTAAAAACAGTTATATATATAGATAGTATTCTTAAGGTAAAAGAGCGATCTTAATTCATCTTTGAACAATGTTAAATGTTGTAGTTTTTAGTTATACAAAATTAGAGTATCTCAATAGAATGTATTCAATCATGAATATAGTTTCAGTAGAGATGAACCATATCTATTTGCATCATCGGGTATGTCTAAAGTGTAGGTTTTTCTCACCAACTGATATTAGAGATTAGAGTTTGATGTGAAGTTTGCAAGTATAGTTTACATGTGACCAAAAGTATTTGATTGAGCTAACAGCATGTCTAGTTTTTCTACGCAAGAGTACGCCTAGTTTTCTTCCTGAAAAATATAGCATTTTATGATTTGACTATCATCTTACTTTGCTACTATATTTGGATTTCTAATGGATGAGACAAATAGAATCATAAGGTTTTTGTACTAAAAATCTACTTATGACAACAATATGCATTTGAGAAAAACGATTTAAGTAAAATGTATGTGGAGATTGCTAAGATCTTTAGATATTGACTCAAGATCTTGGTAGTGAAGTACAAGGTTGAGTTGAATTCATAAAACATAAAAAATAAAAAATTTCACATATTATATTTGATGAATGTGTATACATGAAAAAAATTTGAATAATTAGACCTTTAGATTCATTATTCTAGTATCTATATAAATCACATGTTCATTTTAGCAAATATTAGTAAAATATGAAATGTTTCTTTTGAGTAAATTGAAGTGTACATAACAATCTAGGATAGATGCTTTTTTAGTGAATTATAAATTATATAAAAGTACTAGGTTCCACGCTCTTTGTTACATTTTGCTGATGTTGATTATAGATAAATTTATGACAAGAAAAATTATCAAAATTTTGTTTTCAATCATATTGATTGTAGAGATTACAAATTTCAAGATAAGAATCAAGAACATATTGCTTTTAGTATGTTCAAGTTATTGTAAATCTATTTATTTGTACTTAGCTTAACTTTTAATTATAGAATTAAGATGTGAATGCTTACAACAATACATTTATGAATATTAGTAAAAAAAATAATTTTGTGGAATTTGATTTTGTACATTAAGATCTTTTGTTTTTGCATCAAATTTGTTGCAGCATTGTAAAGTCTAAATCTATTCAAAATTACTCTAATTCAGCCTCCTAAAAGCTTGCATTCTATTTTTGAATTCCAACTTTGCCAAAATTATTCTGTTCAAAAAATCATACATTATAAAGACAGCGGACCACAAAAAAAATACTCGCGCACGCATGTGCAAAGTAGAAACTAGGTCAAGAATGCGTGGTTTGTGATTGCAAATGCGCAAGAAAATGAAGTGAAGTAATATAATGTGATCGTACATCTAAAGGAGTTTGAAAAATCTCCTTTAGTTGTCCTTTAGAGTTTGAAAAATCTACAAGAGTCTCGTAATTTGGATGCCTTTGAATTTGCCTGTAAACTAAAGATAGCAAATCTCACTTTGTTTTTAAGTTGAGAGGAAGTTGTAAATATGTGTATGGATTCTTTGTTGTACAAATTCAGCAATGGATGTGCTGATGAACTGCAGATAGTGAATCTCAATGTGCTTCTTAGTTGATAGAAAGCTCCAAATAACTACCTGGTTGTATAAACTCAAACGTGAAGACCAAGTTCCGCAGAAAAGAAACAGAAGAAGTAAGAAAGAAAACAATTTGCAAAAAATTCATATCTTTCTTTAAATTTCTTTCATATAATTTGTGTAGCAAGTTTTTTTTTATCATTGTGAGTTTTTTTTCTCAAACAATAATATTCAGTTGCATTTCATATCTTTTTTCCATTTTTTTTGCATATCATTTCTTTAGCATGTTTGTTTTGATCATTGTGCATATTTTTTTAGTTGGAACAGAAGAGATCAAGTACATTTTGTATGTATGTGTGTATGTTTTTAAGAAAAAAGATATATAAAATGTAAGGATTGCGACATATACGGTTATCTGGACACAAAAAATAACATCCTTCAATTTGTTATTTTTCAACCCACAATCGTGAATATCATTATGGAAAATATAGTTTTCAATCCGGAGAAAGACAAAGAAGACGATGCGTCCAAATTGATCACCAATGCCTACGCCATAATATTGTATAAAAGAAGATCTTAAGCATGTGACGTTGGAGACTCATCGCATCGAGTTGGAGGAGAAAGCTCGTCCTATTCGGCAAAAGCAACGCCGAATAAATCCACCTACGGCTCTTGTGGTGAAGGAGGAGATCGACAAGCTCAAGGAGGCTGACTTCATCTACGAGGTAGAAAATTCTGAATGGGTGTCTCCAATTGTGATAGTGAAGAAGAAGAATGGTAAGCTACGAGTGTGCGTAGATTACAAAAAGTTGAATGCTGTCACAAAGAAAGACTACTATCCCTTGCCTTTCATAGATGAGATTCTAGAGGAGGTTGCTGGCCATGAGTGGTATAGTTTTGGAGATGGTTATAGTGGCTATAACCAAATCCAAATTGCCTTAGAAGACCAACTCAAAACAACTTTTACCACTCCATGGGGAACCTTTGCCTTTAGAGTGATGCCGTTTGGTTTATGTAATGCTCCTGCCACTTTTCAAAGGTTCATGAATAGAGTGTTTGAACCTTTCATTGGAAAGTTTGTAAGGGATTTCATAGATGATTTTTGTGTTTACGGGAGGAAAGCGGATCATTTTGATCATTTGATCAAAATACTTCAACGGCTGGAGGAGGCTAAGGCTTCACTCAATCCAGAAAAATGCATTTTTGGATGTGAGGAAGGCCTATTGTTGGGCCATATCATCTCCAAGAATGGTATAGCGGTGGATCCAGAGAAGGTGACACGGATCATGGAGTTACCTTTTCCGGCGACTTTAACCAAGTTGAGGCAATTCCTTGGTATGGTGGGGTACTATCGACGGTTCATCTTGTCCTTCTCCAACAAAGCTCATGCCTTGACGAATTACATGAAGAAGGGAGTGGAGTATGAACTCATTTTCAAGGATGAAGGTGCAAAGACGGCGTTCGAAGTTCTCAAGAAGGCGTTGGTGACGGCTCCAATTTTGGCGAAACCGGATTGGGGTAAACCTTTCATTCTCTACACAGATGCATCAAATATTGCTGTAGGATGCACCTTGAGTCAATTAGATGATGAAAAGCATGATCATCCAATTGCCTATGCTAGTAGACAAATGGTTCAAGCGGAGAAGAACTACTCAGTGACAGAGAGAGAGGCCTTAGCTGTAATCTTCTCACTTAAGAAGTTTCGACATTATTTGTTGGGTGGGAGATTCACTATAGTGACTGATCATAAGGCTTTGAAATACATTTTCAACAAGCCTAATGCTGAAGGGAGGATAGCTAGATGGAAGCTACTACTAGCAGAGTTTGATTATACCATTGAGGATAGACCTGGAAAGAAGCATGCTAATGCGGATTTGATGTCGAGAGCATATGATGATGGAGGAGATCAGTCAGTAGATGACACCTTTCCGGATGAGGACTTGCTAGTCATGGACACGGTGACAACAGTACCGGAGGAGTACAAGGAAATTTGGGATTTCATCTCTAGAGTAGAGTTTCCTCAAGGAATGCATCAAAGGGAGAAAAATGCATTAGTGAAGAGATGTCAACCTTATATGATCATGGAGAAGGTACTTTTTCATCAAGGAGCTGACGGACTTCTACGAAGGGCGGTTGGGAGAGGAGAGGCATTACAACTCATGAAGGA